CATACAAACATACATACATATTTAAAACATATTTGTAAAAAAATCAATAATATTAACAATAAAATACGACTTCAATCGATATTACTATATTGCGTTAAGTATATTTTGTTTCGAATCCAATGAAAATTTCCATGGGAATATTGCATACCAATATTCCCGTGGAATATTGGCATATAACACGCAATATATGCAGCAGACTTTTGAATTAAACACATATTCTACTAAATATCATTAAAATCCACTCATAAATATTTAAATAAAAGTTTTATTATATTAAACTACAACAAAAAAAATAAAGTTTAATAAAAATCACTATTTCCTGTAAATATTTTAGTTGGATTTCAGTAATTTTCATTGTCGCTATGATAAATACAACCAAAATTTGTGAAAAAAATCGTGTTAGTAATTTTGCGTGAAGAAAATGAAGGTTTTTGACCTGATGTTTTTTTTATACTTTCCGTAGCTAAAATGAGATGGATTCTTAAATATAGTCTCTTGTAATTGGCTCACAAACTCGATTTAAAATATTCCAGACTTATATCGAATTATTTCCGTTTTTCTCGTATTTGTATCAGGCTATGTGTCATCGCTGTTTCTACGCTTTGCTTAATACAGAATAGCCAAGCATATCCCAAATGACGTAGCTTTATCACTCGTATTATGAGAATTCGTGACAATAGAGAACATTTCATTTTCTATATTGAGTCTACGTAGACGTATAACGGGATCGAACCCGGGACCTAGATGACGATATTTTGAAACCGAAGGGCGAGACACTCGGATATGGAGATCGCCAAATACAAAGAACTTACTGAGATTAAAAATTGTCAATTACGGAATTATAATATACAGTAATGTTAAAAATATATTGTAATGTTACGACCCTATTAACATAAAAATACCTTAAATTATTTATATAAAGTTAGAACTCTTAAATATAATATCCTAACAAGAAGTAAATTTTCTCTCAGTATAGTATTTAAAAATACTCCATTCTCCAGATGAGATAGCGTGGTGGCTAATGGCATTTGTTCAAAAAGTTTCGCAAAGGTCGATCATTGATGCCGATGATGATGATGGATTTTATTTAAAATAAATAACTTGAAATATCTATCTCTCAGTTATAGCATAGATAAATATGATTACTTGTTTGTTTATGGTTCTAGTCAGCATATTTCAATTGTTGTTTAATTGTTATGGATCCATAATATAACACAATTCATAATAGTCAAATTTATCTATGCTTTCGATTACACGATTTAAAAGGTTTTCCTGGTATATTTAATAAAGAATGAACCGAACGTGGCAGGTTGCAGACCCCTGGATTACGATAATGAAAAATGTACGTTGATGCATAAAAAAGAAACATAAAGTCTGACTCGTCACAATAATAAAATAAATTACATCGCAGCTGCGCTAAACGAAGGCAATATTTTTAATTATTTACAATCGCGCGCGTGATTCCAAAATCCAATCAAAATGCGTGAGAATTGCATTGTTGTTACACGCCGACACCGTCCAACACAGTTTACGAAAAAATTATGGACCGAAATAAAACTGCCAACTTCACATTTTGTACCCTCAAAAAATATACAATGTCACGTGATTGTTTTTCCGATTACACGAGTATTTATGATATTTTTTTGGACAGCGTTATTATTAAAATACCTGTATATAAAGAACTTAAAAATTATAAGCTTAGAGTATTTGTACTTACATCAAAATCGTTAACTTTCATCTGATTTGGTTACAAATAAATGATATATCAAATAAACAGCAGATAAAAATTGAAAACTATATAGTGTTTCAGATTCTCCAATTATATTTGAAGCTTAAAAGAGTGGCAATTAAATTTAAAATGCACGAAAAACATTTTTGTGACTTGACACGCCACTACGTTATCAAAAACCATAACATTCTTTTTACAAAAATATATTGAAAGTACATTTATTATAATGGACGCATTTCCGATAGATTCACGTATTCAGGCACGTATTTGCTTGTGTTAAAATCATATAACGAAACATTGCTTTTATGTTCCATCCAGAAAATAATGCACACAATGCTTATTACCTTTCACGTTGAGCATAACGGAAACATAATAAAGTTTGGTGAAAATTCAAAAGTACTACAAAAATGGGTTTAAAATTCAACATACCTATACATAGTGTAAAACCCTTTTAAAGTACACAAAGAATTATAATGCGCTTTCATAAGTATAGAGAATGATTCACACACCACACGTACGCACACACGCATTCACGCATGCAGGAACACGCACAGGCGCAAACCCACGCGCGCGCTTTCATTTTTTCAATAGACAAATCATTAATTGCATCCGATGTGGTATCCAAAAGTTTTAAACAACACGTTTTCAGGTTCAACTTTATTCCAGTTGTACGTACAAATACAACACTTTATACTATGCACGTTTGTCTATGCAAATATCTATCTCGTGCGGTCATGGCTTCAAAAACCCCGTCGATCATCTTATCAATCTTATCTGCATGAATATAAATGAGGATCAAAAAGCGAAATACAATTTATATTTCCTCGATAAAGTTCCTTTTCATTGCGAAAACTATCCTTTGTGTTAACGTGTAAAAAACTCCACTGAGTGCGACTCTTGATATATTCCAAAAGGATACTCTACAACAAGCAGTAAATTAAGAAATAACTTTATTGTCCACTGGCCACTTTAGTTTATTACCATTGCAACACTAAATGACAATTAAGCAACTCTAACAAAGGCCGATCAAAAATTTCATTTTTCGGTAATCATGTTACCATTTGCACTGAGCCCACGTACCTTATTTAATTTTATCTATACAAAAAATCTGTGCCTCAGATATAACATTAATAAATATATGATGATAATTGTAGACAAAAGAAATTTAACGATTTTGCCACATATGATAATTGAATTTAAATATTACACCGCTTGTTTCAAGATAACAAAGGTTTGACTTACAGACTAATAACATTTAGGGGTCTACTTTCAAGACGCTTTTAAACATTACTAAATAGAACCGTCTTCAAAGTTTAAAAAACTTATTTCAAAGCTACTTATTCAAGATAACGCCGATGAAATCGGACACAGGTTTCTGTGGGTTATTAATTAAATGATAGGCGCCCGACTAGATAGATTTTTTAAGTTTTTATTTCATGCTTTTTGTAATTATATTTTTATACAATAGTAAAGACTTAAAATATTAAATAGCTATATGAATAAAAATAATTAACATTGTGAAAGTCTAAGAACTTTTTCTTATTGATAATAATCTATACTCGTATAATAAAGATGAAAAATGTTATTGCTCGTTTGTTTGGATTGGATAAGCTCCGAAGCTATTGGACCGATTTATAAATCGTTCATCTACGGGAAGCTACTTATAGCGGGGATCACAGACTATAATTTACGCAGGCGAAGTCGCGGATAAACAGCTAGTTTGATAGAAATTGGTTCAACTAACTCAAGAAGAAATCAATGAACATACCTACTTTCATAAAAAATATACATACCCATAAAGATAGAAAATTCTCTTTTCGGATTTTGAATGCATTCAAAATACGTAATTTTTTGTTTTAAGCTGAAATAAACATATCATCTAAATTAGCCTTTTCCAAAGTGGATGATAACGCCCCCTTGTGGGCGCTGCAGGCCTTAATGGGGGCGATAAGAGAACCAAAAAGAAAATGGGGGCGTCGTGTAGAGGCTTAGGAAGAGTTAATTTGAAACTAGTGTACTACCTACTGCGCTCAGGACACAAGTTAACTTTTGCGGGTTATAGCAAATCTTCTTTAATATATCTTATAATTATTAATTAAATCTGAAATTATAGTAGTTTCAGTAGTCGAAAAATAAAGACCCTAAAAATTATTAATTTTCAAAGTGGGCAGTTGACTAAATAAAGTTTAACCCCTTTAAAGTTTGGGAACCCCTGATCTAAATATTTAGGTGGTATCTGGTAAAAGGCGTATTTTGTTTTATCATAAAAGGAAAACTACTGATTCGATTTCGATGAAATAAAAAAGGTGACTTCGGTCCATTAAGCTGTCGATTAAAAAAAAAAAAAAATCGCACAACAATTGGTGTCACCAATACGTAAAAAAACATACATTGCTATCAAACATAGGTATAACCATTTTTGGTCTTAGAGTCGGTCAATGAAAATACCTTTAAACAGTTTTATCAGTATTTTGAATTAATATATCCAGATTGTTTGAAGGTAGCATGCTTTTAATTAATAAAAAACGCTCTACACCTTAAGTATAAAGTGACATGGAAAAAGTAAACGATGCTAAAGAGTAAATGTGTTCTATGATGCAAAACGTCTGAAAAATGTAACAATGAAAAATTAAACTTTAAAAGTAATTTGATTAAATAAATAGGACATTAAGATTTATTTTACAAAGAAAACATCGTGAATAATATACCTTTATGAAAATAAATGTTTTTGATTTCGAAACACTTCATTTTAACATGGTATCTTGTCACTTCATACCGTGTATGAAGATAATGAAAACATATTACTTCAGCAACGAGAACAAAAAATAACGCTGCAAGAACGACACGAATAAGAACTCTTTTTCATAAAGAAAGTGACACATTATTTGTTTTTATCAAAGAGCACCAGCAATAAAGATATACTTATTCATAGTTTTATTACTTTCTTTATTTAATATTAATAATCTTCTATAATATTCAATCGAGTGCTTTAGCTACTTATTTTGGAATCTGAGCAATGCATGTAATGTTCTCTAATATTTATATTTATTCGTTAGTCTAGTTTTGATTAAAATTTTGTAGACACCGCGAATAAAATAGTAGATAAATGTTCATATCTATTACCTGAAAAGAGCAGGTTTCCGGCGTATCATCTGTAGTTACAAAAGGGCGCACCATAAAAACCCTTCTCTTGGTCAACTTTCACGGTAAGATAAACAATTGACGCATGTTTTTATTTCTGTTTCAGATTAGCATGGATTTACTGATGGATTTATTTATACGCTAGCTGACCACGTAAAGTTCTTGCCATCAATGACTCGATTAAATACGGCCTATGATCATTCATCACTATCCTAATAATGTACCCACCGATGGAGCACAGGCGTTCCCTAAGAATGGAAGCGAATGGAATAGGGAGAATGGGCTATGACTCAGAACAACCACATAGGCCCCAATGCAGATTGGTAAGTCCGCGCGAAACAATAAAACTTTTGATCACCCATCTTAAGACCGGTCCTTGTAAAAGTATATAGCTTCCACATCGCAACCTAACGCTTATCACTGCGCCATCGAGCTTGTATACAGCCAATCGCCTAATGTTACCCGCTGATAATTTTGTTGGGCTTTATAATGTTGGGAAAAGAAATGAGAAAGTACTTAAAAAAAAGGTGTCGATATCAAACTGGATGTCGCTACTTTGCAATTTTTTTTTGCGCTAGATCAAATTTTTATCACGTTTTTTTCTGATTTAATAAAATAAAACGGAGTTATGAAATTAGATATCATAAAATATAATTCATTAAGTATCTACTTTTTGATAAGTTTCGAAAATATTTTTTTATTTCAAAAATACTGCCTTTGGTCCAATACTCCATTTTGATGTTGTCACGTCAAGAATAGACGTATGTCAGTACCGCCCTCTAGTGGCATTTAATTAAGTAGTTTCCTTTTTTTCATTTAGAACGTGACGTTTTTTAGGCGCCGACAACGTACGTTTTTGGTGATTGCGTCCTCTGGGCGTCATCAGTGCGTTTTAACGTACTCGAACGCGCGTCAAAAAGTGGAGCGGCGGAGAAAGGGGTGCAGGGGAGAAGAGCACGGCAGCCAAAGTAATACTGCGCTTACAAGTAAAAAAAGGCAACTATTAGTATTGCGAAAAACGCGTATTTTCACAGCGCGTATGTGTTGCATTACCTGCGCGTTTGTAGCAATACAATCGCGAGAATCGCTTGCTAGGCGTCCTAATTGCGTTCAACACGCGTTATCAGCGCGTTAAATACACTTCGTGGCTCAAAAACTCAAAAACTTCCTCATTGCACCATTCAATACAAAGAAATGAAAATCCAATCATAGCTTTCTATGATATTAGCATAGAAAAAAGGTTTAATATACTACGATACTCACTTGGTTATTGGGGAACGTGCCATCCTTGTCTATGGCGTTGACTTGGGTGACCTTCGTGCCAATGGGTTCACCTTCCAGCACTGTTTCTTGTTCTCGTTCGGTGAACAATGGAATCTCGTCGTTGACATCTTCAAGCATTATGTAGACCGTCGCCTCGGAAGCCAGTTGTTGGGCGCCATTGTTCTATTAAAATTAAAGGATTAACTGTACTATTTAAACAATACATGTGCTTATTGCCAACAAAATTATTCAGCATCAATATACTTGTTTTTTATTATATCTTAAATTATAATTTCAATTTACGAGACTGTAAAAGAAACTATGTAAAACAAATATGATGGTTAATCTGAAGTTACCAATAACTTCTCAGAAAGTCGCCAGTGATTTAATAAATTAGTGAAAAAAAAATTTGCTTTGTCATTTATGTTTGTGACTGTGCATAAGAAAATTGGTCATCATTAAATAAGTTTGATTTAGTTATGAAATTACTGGCTAACAGACAGATATGTAAGTCGAATATGTATGCGTCTTTATGTAGATTAACTAGCATAGAAGAGATTTTTCAGTACAAGGTTCGATAAACCTTACTTAATTGATGGTTTTAGTATCGAGAACAGGACCTACCTTCTATCAAACCGGCTTTACATTGCAAAAGTAATTTCATTGAAACTACTTTTATTATATTAATATCTATAACAGTAGCACGTGTTCACGCGTGTTTCACATGCATTAATTTTACGACAGTAGTTGTTTCGTGACATGCGCATATATATATATATTTTTTTTTTAACAAAATTCCAATTGAGTTTAATAAAGAACTTGATGAGTCTTGCTTTAAATCCCCCTTATGAGGGGGGATTATACCAACTCCCTTTAAAATGGGAGAGGCGCGGTTGATGATGAGTGGGGATGAGTAGAGGGGGTGGGAATTCTCCCGGGAGCGTCTTGTTGGTCCACTGCCCCCTCCATAGTGGTAGAGAGAGGAAAAGGGGATAGAGGATGATGAGAAAGTGGGAACAGGGGTTGAAAGGTGAAAGAAGAAAGGTGAGGGTGAGGTGAGGATAGTACCCCTGTTCCCAGATGCGCATATATTTGATGAAACTACTTTTTCACCTCGATTTATATAGCAACACTAATGTCACAACACCACATTGTAAAGCTTCAATGTTGGCGAAGACCGTGTCTCAGAAATATGTACTGTTGATTGCACGCCATTATGAAAGTAGATTCGCATGTGCCGAAGTTTCATGAAATTTGTTTTAATTTTCATGCAACTACTTTCTAATGCAAATATTTTTGAACTTTTTTCTAATAATAATAATATTTATTTGCGAAAATATGGCTACAAGGTAGTTTTACAATTTTAGGCCAACATATTTTATCGTCAAAACGATGTGCAAATATTAAAATCAAAATACAATAAATTATATAATATTAAATTATAATTAAATAATTATAACATAAATACTGATATTTTTCACTGAAAAATAAAAAAATATGTACCTTCCATAAGACGTACTACTCTTCAATTTTTAATGAGGAAGTATTAAAAAAAACGTTAGTTCCCGAAATCAAACTAGATGTCGCTACGGTACGTTCTTGATTTCTTCATGACAACCCTTCCGGTTTTCTTTCATGTTTAAAAGTAAATTAGTTTTTAAAACTTATTAAACAACTCATTATCTATTGGTCCCTTTTCGTATTTGTATAGATATCTAAGTTTCGAACTTTTCAAAATTCAGTGTTTTAATATGTTAGATAAAAGTAACGGAAATTACTGTATTTGGTTCATTCGTTTCCTGCAAAAATCAACTTTTGATAGAGTCGCCATCTAGTGGAGGTGCTTATTTAGTGCTTTCGTTTTTTTTAATACTTCCTCATTTCGACCCACGACTTTATTTTTTGACGATTTAATTTAAGTTCTAATATATAGGTCAACGGTTCCTAAATAGGTCAACGGGAAGTGTCCTATCAATTCTGTTTCGTCAGTGGCCGTATCTAATAGAGCTAAGTATATGCCTTAATTTTAATTTTAATACGTTCCAGAAATTAAAGGGACTTGGCGGACAGACGGATAACAAAGTGAAACTATGAGGGTTCCGTTTTTTCCTTTTGAGTAACGGAACCCATAAAGTAACTTATGAATTGATGAACACAAAAAACACCCAAAACTTTGCGTCCCCATACCAAGTTCGTAATGGAATAAATTATGCAAAAATAAAGTTGTAAAACAAGCCTCCTAAACCTTTTAAAAATACTTAAATAATGTAATGACGGCGTTTCTTGTTTAACTTTAGAACTAATAAAAAGTATGCTTTAAAAAAGAGGTTTTAGTACCAGTTTTTTAATATGTATATACATTGTATGTACAGAAAATATGAAAGCTCCGATATGGATTTGAATATTACCAGCCATGAATAGCTGATAATTCGCAACTACCCGTAATGTCGGAGCCTATTAAATGCAAACAAACAAACAATCAATTCTTTCCTCTATATAATATTAGCAAAAATTAATATTGATTTGCATTACGGATGCACTGAAAAAAACAAACCAAGAGCGATTCACGAGTTTCGCACAAATATAAAATTTAAGTAATCTCTTATCTCTTATTATAATGAGCGTCAAAGAGTTTCGTTTCACTTCATACTAAATTCCATACAAATATTATATAGCGGAAGTAAGTCTGTGTATATGTCTGTAAAGCTCTCATGCCTAACCCACTAAAAAAAGATGACTTGAGATATGATATAGGTTGGTTTTTTGTGATAAAAAGGTTGAATTATTTGTATGGTAGTTCGTCATTATCAAATATAAAATCATGAAACATCACAGTGAAACATATATTCAGGTATGAATAATAATTATTTAGCGTTTTAGAAATCCCTCCCCAAAGTAACTATACCGCGCAGACGAAGTCGCGGGCATAAGTTAATTTGTTATAATATCAATAAACTATTCAATATTCTCCATACAGAGTTAGCAGAACGTTAATTAAAAACATTATGAAGTAAAATTTCACAGAACATTCTGTTTCTATGTGTTTGGTAACAACTGTGATCAAATTGACTGAAACTCTCCTTCCCTCCATTATCTGTATCAATATTTATCATAATTAATTGTTTCCGAATGGATACAACTGTCACGGGTGGGTTACGAACAAACAACCTTTCGGACCCGGGAAATGTTCAAATGAATTGATATATGTGATGTTATACATAAAAGGGTTCGTTAAAAATAATACGAAAATAATATAATGACTTTATCCAAAATGGCAAACTGAACTCTTATAAAAAGGGTTATAAATAAAACAGTTCACTGAGATTCTATAAAATAAGTAAAAATAAAAGCAAAAATCTACTTTGTCCCTGAAGGACAAATTTGATTTTTTAAGAATTTTTCATTAAGAATACTAATACTTTTGTTTAAATGCTCTAAAAGTAAATCTGATCTATCATTTTGCTACATAAAAATATTATTTTATTGATTTTATTGTACTTACAACTAAATACATTGCGTAATGAATCGAATGTTATCAACTAAGCACTACAGCTCGCTATTTGGTTTCGAACGCCGACTATATTAATTAGGAATTGCATAGTGTGCTACTGATATTATAACTCATTAATTTAAAGAGGTAAGATTTGACTGTCGTTTTTATATTTGTTCATTTGCATTGAATAGGATCCAAAACTACTAGGTGATTTTTTAAATTCTTTCACCCTAATCTATTCATACGCGAGCAGAAGCTATTAAACGCGTCGCGAGAAAACATATAGGAAACTATAAAAATCTTATATTTATATGTCGCATCATCTTTACGAAGATCGTTGGATTTAGTTACTTTTTTTAAATTGCTAGTTACTCGATTACTTAATTACTCGATTGTAGAGAGAGCATGATCATCGACACTTCTAATTTTATTAGAATGGTGACACTGACTTTGACAGCTCGTTAACAAAAAAGCGAATTGCCGCCATTTTGGCACACATTCTGTTTCCGAACGCCGAGGAGTAAAGACATCCGACGACATCACGCTCATCTCGTTATATTTTCTATGAAAAGTGATAAAATGGAACAAATCCACGTTGGTATACACGCCTGCAGTGTTATTTTAAAGATAGTCCTCCGATATGGACGATCTATTTGGGCTTCGTATAGGCCCTTCTGACTACCCGCCGACATATATATTATCCATATTCAAGGTTCATTAAAAACGATTTGGTAGGTAATCCTCCATTGTGGCACCGGCCATCATTATGATGTACATAATACATAATGGCTGGCATAAACAAATTCTTATATTAAACTAAAGCTTTAAACCAAATTCTAGGTAAAATTAAGATATTAAAGACATTACAGTTTGCACAAAACATTTTTTAATATTTACAGTTGGCGGCTTCATACGACTTATGATGCTGTCTCATGTCGTAAACCTAAAACATTGTCAGTCTTCACGAGGGTAGAATTAGGTCGTTGTTGTTTTGAAAGGGATAACAAACTTAACCTTGACGAATATAGCGTCACGTCTCAGATCGGCTTAAGGACACACATAATTTGCCACTGTATATGTATAACATCTAAATCCATTGTTCCTTGTAGTCAGATTATGATTAACTTTTAGTTAAACTAGCCCTAACATAACACTGAATTGGCCGAACTGTTTTAGTCATTACTAACTCTATATTACCTATTCTATTTTAGTGTGTCTCTATCTATTTAATCGTACATAAACGAAATTAGAATAAAAAATACGACATCAAAGTAGATCCTAAAAAGCTACTGCACTCCTGGGCGGTGTTGGGTTGGTTACATATCAATGTAGAATATGAACTTTCTATATTGTCTCGGGTCTGGGTATTGTGTTACCTTCATTGTATCAGATAGTCCATTATACGGGAGCTTTAGCTATTCATCTTAAAATCTGAGCAATGTGTCTGTTGTTTAATATGTATTTATTATTTATTTATTTAATCTAACCTACGACATCGCGTCACGGAAAAAATGGGTGCCAGTAAAATCACAATTTTTTACATTTCTGATAAATACGTGAGTTATCTTACAACCAAGAGAATCCAAATACAGTAGGTACTTTTACAATAATCGAAATAGTTTACGCATTATTAATTAAAAACGGTCTTAGCCGCTCAATTTGTCATCCTCTATTCCATCTATTTTCTAGTCACATAGGCGTAAAATAACTCTTCATTACTGTTGTAACTACAATAATTCTTTTAATAAAAAAAGTGGCCAAGTCTTGACTAAAGTGCATTTATAAAGTTAACGCTTATGGATTTCGAGCATTTGGAGTTAGACGCTTAACTCTACGTAAGATCTGAAAAGTTAATTTCAGTGCGAGCCATTTAGTGTTGTGTTTCCAATATTTAACATAAAAATGTTTTTGGTGGGTTTTCCTTTCATTGTATTTAAATACAAATTATTTCAAAAGCCTTCTTTTGGGGTCTATTTCTTGCACATTAGAGCGATTTAATCCCTTTACGCACTAAGTAATGCACATTATTGAGTTTTTTGAAAGAGAAAGCTATTTTTAGTAACAACAATTGAAACTTCTTAGATGATAGACTCGTTTAAATCGATAATATAAACGTTTGCTTAGATGATTTTTTTTATCGTAACTTATGATAAAAAAACTTCTGAATCGATTTTGATGAAATTTCGAAGTTAGAGTCGGACATATATAAAAAATGTAGGTATACCTGCTTTTTGACGAATTGAGAACTTTCTCGTTTTTTGAAGTCTATTAGAAAATCTGACTTATATAGTCTTCAATAGGTAAGATGTAATTTAGCCCTATTCATTTTAAAAACTATTCATATGTATACAATGATATCTTAACATGGTACATTTTATGTTCAGTTGTGACAAAATTTTTATACGTAAATATTAGCATACAAAACTTCTTCTAAAAGATAATTGTTAAAATGTCACATTTATAAGCGGAAAAGCGTACTACTCGAATAAAAACCCTACTCTATTTGAATCTAGTACTTAGTAGTAAACAAAACACTTTATCATAGACATATTATTAGTAGGTATTTACTTTTTTTTAAAATTAAATTCGCTATTTATTTTATTTATTAAATTCGCTCATAAATTATTAAGGTATCATTTTATTTATTCAGTTTTAATGTCCAATCAAATTGGTGGTCAAAATCGACAATTTAAAAACACTGACGACTTTCCGAGAGACGTAACAGAGACAGAGATTCCATTATCTCTCAAATCACAACAATAAAATTACCTAGATACATAGAGAATCACATTCAAAAAGGTTGAATAACAGAAAAAAAATATACATAAAACAATCTCACCTCAACACGGATCGTCAAATTGTATTCCTTAATGCTCTCGTAGTCTAACGGATGATTGACTTTTATATCCGCCCAAGTGAATCCATTATCGGCCCTTTGTTGCAAATAGAAGGTGTGGAACTTATTGGTTTGGGCGGTCGATCCGGGCATCAAACGGTAGAACACGGTCGGATTATTCTCAATGCCCGAGCTGAAATTTTACAAGACACTGAAACATATCGGCCGTTTATATCAAGAAAACAGATTTCTGACGACTGACACATCTATTGGCCACATGACAGTAACAACAATGAACTTGAATTTAAACAAAAATGTAAATGCGAAAAATGAATAGTGATGTTGTTTATTGAATTTTAAATAAAAATCTAATTTTAAGCTTGCTGTAGTCATTTAGAGTTACAGCAACTACACACAGAATATAACTAATAAGTAGCAAAAAATTTATTGACTAAATATGACTATAACAGATATTTCATTCTAATTTAACAAAAGAATCTGTGTCAACAATATTGACGAATAGAACAAAAATTTTAAGTTGAGTAACTCATATAAACACGTGTAATTTGCTTGATCTATTAAAATATGATGGATGAATAACTAACTTACTAGTTTTAAAAGAATCATCGCATAAAATACCATTAATTCCATAGAAGAATGACAATCTCAATGTCCACTTTAACTTTGATATTTCTGATATTGCAATGAATTACTCAACGATATATAATGTTAGTATAGTGAATTAGTAATGGTTTCGTCTCCTTACAACCAATGTTTAAGTTAGAAGTGTGTTTTTAGGACGAACAGATAGACAATAGAGATGTGAGCGTTGACATCAGCCGGCACACAAAGTGATCGACAAATGCAATAGGTAAAACTGAAAATGCAAAGCCCGTGGTGGGTAAAGGCCTATTCAGATAGTGATAGGAATATATAAACGCAAAAGAATCCGCTTGCTGTAGATAGATAGACAATTTAATATTCCATCAGTTTTAAAGTTTTATCGGAAAAATGCAGAACCTACTTCAACGGTGCTCTTTTTAAAAATATCAAGCCCTCTGGAAGTAATTTAGTGTGTAACAGATAACGGGTATTCTTAGTTCGTTTAGGCATCTTTTTTATTTTTAACAATACCTCTTTGATAGTTAGCAAGATCACATAATTCAGTCTTTTTTTTATTGAAACTAATTTTAAAACTGTAATTCCATGATAACATTACAGACAGTTATATTTTGGTAAGGGCGCATTTAATTATCTGAGTGTACACAGGCCTTTGTACTGAATTTTGGTTATTTTGATTGCGGATTTGTGCTTTATTGTTATATAATTTTAGCCATTTAATTAAGGCTAGTGTCAAACATTTATATCTCAATAGGCCTTCATTGATACCTACGATTCCCTTTGATGATTATTCATACGCATACTTACTACTTCCCAAGTAGATTCACAGTCAAATACATATTATTCTATTTTGTATTTTTTATTGAATTCAACAAATGACACAATGCTATATTCTATTAATTTTTAAGAAAGTTTCCTAGATTGCTAGGGCACTGTGAATTTTTTTTTTTAATATATACTACGAGAAGATACAAAATTAGTCGAAAATTTAAGTAAGTAATTTTGATATTTCTTTTACATAACAAAAACATTCAAAAGTAAAACTTGCTTCATAATAATTTTAGGTTTAATTGAATTGGAGAAAAATCAAAACGTAAAAAATATGAATAAGGTAACAATATTCTGAAACATAACATTTCATGCTATCTCAAATCCTACGTTTCCTAAAAACATGTCAACGATTCATGATGCAACGATGTCTCGGCCTACATGCATAGTAGTCATCAAATTTTGCAAATATTTAATTAACTTCAAAAAAATATTCGATATCGATTAAAAATATCAACTATTGTGAATGGTGCCTTAATGTAGACGAAAACAATATTAATAAATATTTAAACTAACCCTTATTTACTTAAATCATTCAAACATTGAAATAACGTAGGTACAGTTTATTTATTAGAACTAGTTTCTCGTGTACAATGACGAGTCTGAAAGTCCAAGTACAAACCGACATGGATCCTCTTGTAACATAAACATTTACAGGAAAGAAATATGTAAACATCAATATGAACGAAAGAATGGAAAACTGTTATGCCATTACGAAAGAAACAATATTTTCTAATTGCGCCTATATTAAATATTAACCCATCAAGTTCTATCTTCAGTTTTTGCTTTTCTTAACAACGTCTAAAATAGTTTTGACCATACAACAATGGAATAAACAAATAGAAATCTGATTGGTTGGTTAATGGCTAGACTAACATAGCTAAATCAGTATCTGGTTAACTTATTCAGTGCTGATTTTAGTTCTCATCCCTGACATTATTATATATATTTGGCCTGAATACATTTTTTGTATTGAGAAGAGAGAAAATTTTCAATTGAGAATAGGTTTCAAGAAGTAATTGATATTTTGTGGTAACCTGATATGCTGCAATGTGTACTGTAACGTCCGTGCACATTACTATAGGTAAGTTTACTCTTCGGGCGGTTTATGGTCAATGCTGGCCATTAATATTTTAAATTATTACTTTTTCTGTATTCGAATTCTCGTATTCGTGTTTTGCTGGTTGTTAATCTTTCTTTACTGATCGAGACCGGATTAGGTGTCATAGTATTTCGTTGTAAGTGATTTAATGTTATACCAATTGCAAATATAATCAAGACTGAGGAATTCTACTAGATTTTCATTGCGCCACCCATCTCCACCATTAGATAAGATATTAGAGTACCTTACCTACAAGCAAATGACATGAGATGTCGTCGTAAAGATTGTATATTGTTTTAATTAAATATCAAGATTGAAAATTTGGTATATTTGAAAAAAGAAACCTATATTAAACGTTAAGGATAAAGTTAAAAATCAATTGATAGAATGTATTATAATTATGTTGCTTTGTGTCCAACAACTTTAAATTTTTAACGTTTTACATGACACCTTACATTATAAGCTATGAATGATAGCTGATAGGTAAGTGAAATCCTTCAATCGTTTTGTAGTTATGTTATCTTTTAACAAGAACAGCAAAATAACAGCTACACAGTTGATCCTACGATAGTAAGCGAGTTGTTTCAAAGACAAAATATGAATATATCTACTATATTTAACATTAAGGCACCATCAACTACAGTAACATATTTTATGTTAGTGATTCCCCATTTCACTTAAGCAGTGAGCCCTTAAGCACGATAGTGAACCACGTTAACTCGAATGAAAGTCGTGTTTCGATGTAAAATGATGCAGTTGCCATCCCAAATAGTCACCTAGTGAATTACATTACGACCATTATATGACACCAACGGCGGACGAACACCAGTGCTTTGGGAATTCTTAATCAAAATCGAATTTTGCGCCACTGGATAAGTAAGTGCCAATTCGATAATGATAATATGGCCTCGTAGGAATCACCATTCACTATAGCTTCACGTCGGCTTTATGTAACGTTACATATTTAATTTAATACAACTGTTAATTTTTTAAATTTAAATACATACTTGTCAACTACGATACATAATATTGTTATAACGCGGTTATATAATACTTTTTTATTATTTCTTTATTTTATTCCATTATTATTGATTAATCTTCTGAATCGATACGTAACGTTTTATTGCCATAGCACAGAATAGTTAAAAAAAGATTGACATGTAAAATCAGCGTTTAATCCATTGCTGTACAATTAAGAACTCTTAAAACCATTTTCGATATATCGCGACATTCATTATGCTTTGCCCGGCTCTAGTGTATTAAAAACACATAAATGCAAGACAGATCACGAAACAGTCCATATTTTAACAGTGCAAGTCCTGATAACATTTTTTAGTTTAAATTACATTTTTGAAGAATAAATAACACCTGCTATTGTACAGTAATTTTTGCTTTTAAAGGCAAACGGCGACTCTTGGTCACGCACCGGCCGCACGATACGCAACGAATACTATTAAAAATTCTTACGACCTCATCAGTATAATTCCGACGTCAAAACTGACAGTCGAAAAGTTGTGCAATGCGTTGCGTGTCGTGCAACCGGTGCGTGCGTGCTGAGGCAATAGACGAGCACCTTTAAAGATAGGTGCGAATATAATGTGTATTTTTTATCTACTCCGTTTGTGTGATTTATCGTGAATGGTGACCTCCATATTGTCGTGGTGTCGCCGCGGCGTCGCACACTGCGTGCAGGTGACGGGGCTGCGTGCGGTGCCCGTGCCGTACAATAACACGCACCTTGCTTTCACGGACACCACTTTGGCACCCACGGGCAAATTCTCTCGAATGTAGATCGGGCCATACACCGTGTGGTCCCACACGGGGGGATTGTTAGCGCGATCCACTACGTCTATCTGGACCTCCACGGTTCTGGACAAGGGCGGGAAACCCTTGTCTTGAGCCATAGCCTCCAGCTTGTACGTCTCTCGCTAAAGGGATAGAGTCGATGGAAACAGACAAAACCACGTCGTTAGTAGTGTTAAGGAGTGGAGGTGCGGCGGGCCCGGGGGTCCGCTGCGCCTTATACCAACCTGGCTTTCACACTGGTCACTACGGTACCCACTGTGACATTCTCTTTGATGTGAACGGGGCCATACGTGGTCATGTCCCAGATGGGGGGCTTATTGTTTCTGTCTACCACGTCTAATTCAACGTCCACGTCTGCGGCGGAGGGCGGGACGCCTCTGTCGGAGGCGCGCACGCGCAGTCGATACCTGTCCCGCTACAGATACACGGGTCAGAGGTCAGCGGGGGGAAAATAAAATATAAACACAACTAAAACATAAACACATCGCTAATAAACAATCAAAAGTAATTTAAAAATAAAATCAAGTATCTTTCACTTCACTTTGAAATCTATTGGCTGTTTAAGGATGTTTGTATTTTAAAGTAGGTATTGATTGTAGATACTGGCAGCCGTCGCGCACACATTCATTAAGCCAAAAGTAAAAAGGAGAAAAGTATAAAGATAATTTTGATATATAAATTTCTACCGATCACTCCCTCTATTCACGCTATGGCTCCATACATACTCACTTACAGTAACATTCCTTAATGTAGCCAATCTTTAGATGGTGCGAGAAAAGAAACTGGAAACAAAATACTTTTGGTATTTTACAAGATTTGCTTTGTATGTACAATAAGAAAAAAATACAAACTGTACATTATGTATAATTAATTAGTCTGTACAATAATTATAATTAAACTAAACTAATTATAAAACGAAAATAATCGAACTGAAAGCAGGCAAATGCATGCAGCTCTGCATACAAGACATGGCAGAAAGGTCAGGTTGTCTCAAGAAGGTTTTAATGACCTCGTAATTACTACAACGAAACGACACTCATTGAAATGAAATATATTACAAACGATGGACGTTACGGCATAATCTGTACAAATTCGAATTTTGAGAACGTTGCCCCTTTCACAGAAGGAATATGTCACAACTGGCCAGATGGCCAAACTGCCGTTCAGGCAATCTGACCATCTCGATTATGAACTAATAATATTACACAATAATATTAACATATACTGGCGCCCTGTAAAAAATTTACAAAATTATATCATGATGACAATACAGTTATTTGTTTAAGTGCATGAGTGGTCGTCAATCTCCATAACATTTAACAGGCAGAGTCGAACTGCCCTCGGAGAGATTGCTCCGCAAAATAAGATTAGTAACAAAACATGTACATACATATAAATACTGATAGGTTAGGTATATTCAAAAGCGTAAGCTTCTCAAATCAATCAATTAAGTAATTACTTATAATAAAATAAACTTTCAAAACTAGTTTGTGCAAAATATACAAAAGTGCTGTTATTACAGAAACTGTACATGTTTTAGAACTAAACATAAGTCCGTATTATTAATATTTACAGCAGTATCTCTGTCGGGTATATATCATACACAGGTCGTATTATCGGTAATATAGTATTCAATGCAAGATGGTGCTGCGGAAATAAATCTTAACGAAGATTCAGTGCTGAGCCGGCGCTGGCGGCAAATCAAACAAATTGTGCTGCAAGAAGAACAAGCCCCCGCCTGCGGCCACGGCTCCCACCACGCCGTTCAATGGACAACTACTCCTCACAGCTAGGATTGACCCCACTCCACAGCAATTTACAGCGCAGTCAAAATTTAGAATAACTATTTACAGTTAAAATTAACATAAAGTATGTGCCAATTGAATCCTAGAGTCTGTAGGTAGCACTCATCCACCAAACTTTAATCGGTAAAGTTGATCCCTTTCACGCATCGCGCTTATCAGAAGTTCACACGTTGTCATAGAATGTGTAGTATATTATTGTTTTTCTATTAATATAATACTTACGTCTAAAGGTTTCTTGAGGACAATCCAACCTGATTCAGGTTGGATCTCAAAGTATTCTATATCGGCTGGGTTATATGGTGCACTCAACGTATAAACAATAGCGCCGTTATTATCTGCGTCCTCATCAGATGCAGATACTCTTAAGATATTTGTGCCAATACTGGCGTCTTGTTTTACATTCTCCACATATTTCTGCAAGATACAGAAATTATGGTGAATACTCTTTATACCTAACAAGTGCAAATTCTATATACATGCTATTTCATGCAGCTACGAAATTATTTATATACATCAGAGAAAATCTTACTTGTCTGTCGAATAGTGGAGGGTTATCGTTGACATCAGTAATTTCAACGGTGAATGAGCAAACACCTTCTAAGGAAGGTTCACCCTGATCAGTCGCTTTTACCGTTACCGACACAAACTTCCCATCGTCACCTTCTCTATCAAATACTTTATTAGTGGACACTTCGCCTGTCTCTTCGTCTACTGTAAACTTAGTACCTTTTTGATTAGGCTGTTGCACTATAGAATATTTAACTTGACCGTTGACGCCTTTATCTTCATCCGTTGCGTGCACTTTTATGACGGGACTGCCATTTGGTGCACCTTCTTCGACCTTAGGGAAATATGTTGGACAGTCTTTGAATATGGGTTTATTGTCATTTACGTCTGTAATAAACACTACAACGACAGCTGTAGATGTATGTATGGTTGCATCGCCGTTCACACAACATGCTCCATCGTCCATAGCTGTAACATTCAGTTCATATTTGTCTCGATCTAATGAGATAGCTTTATTATGTAAACGGATTACGCCAGTGATTTCCTCTATAACGAACTGGCCAGAACTTGTACCGCCTCCGACAAAACCAAATCTAACATTGTCACCGTCCTTATCTGAAGCAACGACCGTAGTAACCAGTGTGTTTGGACCTGCATTCTCATCGACGTTTGGTGTGTATACTTGTTGGGAGAATTTGGGTTCTTCATCATTTTTGTTCTTGGTGTAAACTCTAACAGTTGCTGTTCCTGTCTTTGCAGGCTCGCCTTTGTCCTTAGCAGTGACTACAAACTCATAATAAGCGTTATTGTTGTCAGCATCCAACTGCTTGTTGTTGGTAATAATGCCGTTGGAATCTACGCTAAAGTGGTCGTCTGAAACATGAGAAACAAAATATCGAGTTGAAACGGCTAGTAGTATTGGTAAAAAAAATATAGCGATAAACAAAAAATATATAGCTCCTAAATTATCTCCAATATATTATTCAAGTCTTTACAATTTATAGCTTGACGTGTTTTATTATTATTAACACATATTCAATGGATTTACACTTTTCGTGAACGAAACGACGTCTTTGCTTTGTTCTAAATGTGATAAAATTGAAGATGGTATGATGTTTTAAAGCGGAAGTTTTTAATTAAATATTTTTTATTTATCCACTCATCAATCTCCAATTTATATAGGTGTACAAATATTATTTGCCAGAATTAAGCGAATTGAACATTCAAAAAATATATATATAATCTCACTTCCTTTAATATGCTGTAATTTTAGCATGAATTCATACACAAGCTTCAATTTTCGTAAACGAAACCCTAATCCTTTAGGTAATGCTGTATAAATACCACAGAACTAAATATCAGTACAACTTTGTACATATTTGACATTATATGTTTGATAAGAATTCTATTAATTATATTTCTGCAGTCTTATTCTGATATCAGCTTACCTGATACCAGATACTCGATCTCCGCGTTCTTCCCAGAATCTGCATCCATTGCCTTAACCTTGAGAATGCTTGTCCCGAGCGGAATATCTTCATCAACGTTGTGCGCCTGGTAGTCGGGCAGTTCAAACTTTGGTGCGTTATCGTTTACATCAGTCACTCGTATTGTGAGCTGAAAGTGAATAAACAAGAAATTCAGATCTCAAGAACTCGTTTTCGGTGATATTTTAAGAACTCAAATATGCCTACCTATTAATAATGATTCCTTCTCTTTATGACCATAAATATTCGGCACGTTTAGGATTTACGATGGGGCCAAGGTGATTTAAGTTTATGTGGCACTGTTAACTCTTTTTTTTATATTTTTAGATGAAATTGAGATATCCATACGTGAAAAAATTATATATTAAATAAAAAAATAATAAAAGCTAAAACCTTGATAAATAAACCTTTACTTTTATTGTACAAGTATTTACATTTTATGAAACAAGTTAAATTCAAACTCCAAACAATCAACGAATTTTTATAAACATATAATAAAATTAAATAAGGCTTCTTTGTCATTTACCCTACTAAATAGATAGTTACCAAGAGCAATGGGCAATTATTATTGGAGATGGATGTAATTCTATTAAACTAAATGAAATGCGTTCTTAGAAGCGAAATAATTATTTTATTAATTATCATTAAAAGATATTAATTAATAATCATTTAAAGATTGTAATATCATAGTTTACAAGTGAAATCAACATAACAAATCAAAATTTATTTGAAAACGTAAGTGATGGAGAGTAAAAATATATCAATATATCAAATCACACATCAAAACTTCTGTACTAGTGATAAAATGCATCAATATCTCACATAAAATAAATGTCGCATTGGAGTACCCCACGCGACATTTATTGTAAGATTATTAATTTTTTCATTTTAAAAATATGGCGTCTGGTTGTCGCTGTGATGAATTTTGATTACTGTCATGTCTTTAGTGACACTCGCAAGGTCGGTCAAAATCGGCCTACGCATTTAGTCTCTAGAACGCCACATACAAACAAACATAAATTCATACATAGACTGATTAACACTTTCCCCTTCTTTGCGACGCGCAGTCGGATAAAAAAAGCGCGTATGGCAAGTAAAGATCTCAGTGAAAATACCAACGTACCTCTACAGACGTAGAAAACCCTCCAGAATCTTCTGTAGCTGTTACCACCAACGAGTAGACGTGTGGCTGCCTCAGGTCTTCAAAATCAAGTTCTTTGGCCAGCTTCACGATGCCCGAAGTTGGTCCAATATTGAAGGTGCCAGCGCCTTGTCCTTGAGCTTTCAACGTATACCGGATCTCGCGATCAGCAAACGACTTTGCTTTTACCGATATGATACTGGAATAAGAAACAAAAACACTTAATATTATCTAATGGTTTGATGGTCTGACCAGGTGAATCAGATCCCTATCAGAGTTCTACTAGGTGGTGATGGCTACTTACGACCGGAATCGATGAAGAATTGTTCGTCTGACGAATTCCAGTAACCACAATCCTTAGTAATGAGGGATTGACTAGAGAGAGAGAGAGAGAGAAGGAGAGGGTGGGTTGATGCGAGAAAGAAAAATATAAAGGAACACTTGTTGCGACACGATAACTTATATAAAAAACAACATAGAATTAAAAACAGAAGGGAAAAGAAGAACTTTGAACAAGTAAAAGAAAAAGTAAGCGTCGTATCCGTCGTGTGCGTGTATCAAAATGTCATGTTGATTGCCTATGATAGGGAACAATGGAAATTTCAACAGCAACAAGAGTATCACTCTTAAATGTTATAGATAAATCCATTGATTTCGTCAATATTATCATAAGCCCCTTATTTTACGTCCCCACTACAGGGGCTTAGACCTTCCTTATGGATGGTTAAAGAGAATGAGCATTAACCCCCCATGCTTGCCCAATGCGGGTAAGACGGTGTCAACGACCAAATGCACCCAGGACTAACGGCTTAACATCTTCTGAAGGACGGTATAGCTCGAGACGATAATTTTTTGGTCACCAATCCTGTGACTGACCCTTAGGAAAGATGCTTAGCAACAACGATTGCAGGCCGCAGCGCTTATTAACTACACCATTGAGCTACTGACTTTAGATATTGAGTAAAATTATCCTGAGGAGTTCGATGACGAAGTGGATGGCACCTAACTTCCGTGCTTCGGAAGGCATGTTAAATAGGAAGGATCCGGTTGAATTTACAGTGGTTAATAGCTACCAATCCGAATTGGGCCCGCGTGGTGGGTCATGGCCCATTCACCTTATTCGATCTGATTCAGCCATCCATAGCTCGGTGTTGTAGTCGACAAGCGCCGCGGCCCGCGTTCGTTGTCGTTAAGCGACTTTCGCAGGGGTCGGTCACGGGATGAGTGACCAAAAAAAATATTAACTCGAGCTACTCCGTGCTTCGGAAGGCACGTTAAGCCGTTGGTGCCGGCTGTATTTGCAGTCGTTAATATCCTCCAATCCGCATTAGGCCAGCGTGGAGGGTCATGGCCCATCCTCCTTAACCATCCATATGGAAGGCCTGAGCCCCTGCAGTGGAGACGTAAAAGGGCTGATGATGATGGTCCATAGGAAAGACCGGGAAGGCCTGAACCCCAGCAGTGGGAACATTAATAGGCTAATACTGGTGGTGATCAAATCTATTATTTTGATCTGCCGAATAAAACATCCGTTGTTTCCAAGCAGTCATAAAACAAAAGAAACAAACACGAATTTGTTGCCTTATCTACTCGTATATGATCAAATTAAGAGAACTAATTTAAAATTGAATACATACTTTGTTAATGCATTCCCGATAAAATGACAAACTTGCATCGAAAAGTTCAAACTCAATTTGTTTCCGGGAACACTGAACGACTAAGAGAATTGACGTTCTACTAATGATAAATTTATGTTCTACAAAAGTTTTATAAGTTTTGTAATTGAGACTTGAGACTATTCAACAAATTGCATTTGTGTAACGATCAAGATCAAATTCTATTGTATAGATGTATGAGATAACAACTATTTGGAAGAGTTCCTGATACTGTAACACAGATAGGTTACCATGAAATCTTCCGTACTATACCCCGAAAGAGGTATTTGATATTTTATCGTTTTATATGAAGGAATCTAACTGTTTAGTTAGTAAGTAGTAACCCGTTATAGCTGAAGGGTGTTGAAGTATATCATATAAACAGTACTCTGCCAAATTTTCAAAACCTTTGCATTAACTTTTAACTTTCAGTAAAAAGGCTAATTTTTAATAATTAATATTAACATCGAGTGTGCTATGTCACATCACTATTTTAGGTTAATAACCTTACCAGGAGTAATGGCACACTACCTACCTCCTATGTTTTCTAATTTTTTTTCTATTCTCCTAGTACACACTCACACATACACACTAAGAATGAGAGAGAAAATATACTTAAAAACATGTCTGCGTTTGCCAGTTTACACAGTAAATACTTAACCTATATCGATCGAAAATAAAAAGAAATAAAATGAAAAGAAAATAAATAGGAATCAAATCATTGGCAAAATGGTATGGTAACCGACGCTGTTCAGCCGGTAGTCTAATTTCAGTAAAATTTTCATAATACATATCATTATCAACACGCACATCATTTCATAGCATCGTTTCCGACTCAGCTGTTTCTGAATTACAGATCAAACACCATTTTAGTACCTATTTATGATAGATAGGTAAAATTTAATTAAACACTGATATACGAGTCTAACTTTTAGTTCATACTTAAATGGTCCGACAAATCTGATTGATATTGATATGCGACTAATTCACAAACGATTTTGGCGTATTTAAAAAGAAATATTTGCGAATTACTATTTGTACTTTACCTTTTCACTTCCTTATTCACTGTTTAAGCATTACTTGTGAGGTTCACTCACCTACACTTTATTAGGCTTAATTTTATTACACAAGAAAAAACTAAAGATCACGGCCAACCACTGAAGTTTCAGTTTAATTACATCTTTTCAAAATAGTGTCAATTTATATCAAGACAACACTGCATCCGATGTAACACTGATAAAAGCACTTTTCACAGTACTCGGAATTAGAGAACACGGATATTTTCGAAACGTGATCGAACACATCAACGACGTATGAACTACTGAATAAAGAAAAAAGTGATAAAAAGGGAAAGCCGCCAATTGAGTCCTTTATTATAAGCCGCTGCCTAGTGTGCGGCATGTCAAAGGCGCACAGAAAGGTACCTATAGTTCCGCAAATAAAACTGAGAAGTAGCGGGATAGGGTTGCCATCTTCTCGTATTAGATCGGAATTTTTTTCCTAAAAGCCGGACTAAGTCAAATCTCTCGCGACACCGTAAAACAATATTACCCTAGTAGACAGTAATATTAGTTCACGGCTTCGCGAGGGTTACTGCCCTACGCACTCGTTACTGCCTAGTTATTCAGAGGGTGCGTTAAGCAAAAATCACTAACTTTCAATTGATTTTTTAGTAAGACGTAACATACAAATAAGCGGTAATTAAAGATAACTACATCATAATTTTAACGCTTTTATCACAGCCAAAACGTGAATTCATAAAATAAGACTTTATCGTATCATCAAAAATGCACAACCTATTTTGAAAAAGGTTTTTTTTATAAAGTAATTTCGGAGACAATACGATGCAAACAAACTAATGATTTGTATTCAAATTTCGCAAATGCCCGTGCAAATCTGCGTCTTTTTGGGTATTTGGGTATTTGACGTTTTTCGAATTTGTGTGTATTAATAGTTTGGTTGATATAGCTTAGGCACTGGTATACCAAAAACCTATGAAAACCATACCGCCGGACATGTGACATTAACATTATGCTGCACACAATCTAAAAAGTCAAACATGTCCCGCTAAAGACGGATAGATGGCAACCCTAGACAGGCGGCAATGTTAAAGTTTGAGCCTAAACTTCTAGTTGCCTAGTACCGAGGTGATCAACATTTTATTGTACAAATTAAAAAAATCGTTGCAGGACATTATTGCAATTAATTTTTTTACATACGTACGTAAGAACATAATACGTAACGTACATAACGTGAAACAGTTTGAGCGACATTACCGGAGTTCAGAGTGGTAAGTGTAAGTTTTACGCTAACGCGTTCACTAGAGAGCGCGTTAAGAATTTGTATGGAGATTTGTACTTCTTGGTAGTTACCGCTAGGGGCGCTCTTACGGATTCCATACTAAAATCTTAACGCGCTCATGATCGACAGTGAACGTAAACGTCAAAAAAACGTACACTAAGCGTTCTGAAGAGTCCTTTTTGTCAATTAAATATCGCTGTAGAAAATATTGTCTCGGTAAAATAGTTACGGAATTGTTAATTGACAAAGATTTTGTAAATTTTTATTGTTGTTGATAAGATAGTACATGGTTGTATTTTAAGTGTTTACAAACTTAAACATTGTTAATGTTTGGTAAAGACTAGTTTAAGTGAGAAATGTGATATACTTTCACGCTGCACCGGCATGCAAAAGAGTATGCTCGGCTCAGTCTGTAGAGAGGAAGTAACATCGACTATCATAAGACATCGCTAAATAAATAAATTAATGTATTTCGGGGCCGTAGTAATCTGCGCACAATCGACATACCTGTTTAAAATTTTAACTCATACACCTTTTCTATTTTGAACTATTTTTCAAATAAATAACCATTTGTTTGTTAGCTGTGTCGGTCGTTTTAGGGCTTTTTCTATTTAAGGAAATAGGTAAACAGTACATAATAAAACGTCTCATTCAGTTTCATTTCTTACAGCATTAAAATAGTGAATCCTATACTCTGATTCTAAAATTCAGTTGAATAGCCCCAGTAATAAAATAGATAATAAATTAAAATCTGTACCAAATGTTTACTTCTACCGCGCGCGACACACAAACACGAACGATAATGTTTTGTTTCTTTCTCTCTCTCTCTTTCCCTCCCTCTCTATCTCTATCTTACGTCATTGTACAATCGGGGGATAAAATGAATTTGTTTTAGGCTCGATTTTACCGATTATGTATTTATTTCTCTTACGTATTTAAATACCTAAACAATAAAAAAAAATTTATGGGTTAAGCTAATGAAGTTATTTCTTAGCACCCGTTTTTATAATTATTAATTGTTAGCAGTTTGATAAAACTAGGGCTTTTGACTAGTGAAATATAAAAAAACTTCAGTTATTGAGAATATCCAGTCTAGATTTTGTACTTTTCTCAATTCAGAAAGCGGCTCTTTATCAACATTTTTTCTTGCTTTTAAGATACCTAAGTGTAGTGCATATCATTTACTCTAAGGTAGCAATCCACTTTACTTGACACAATTTACATGCAGTAAGAGTAAGTGGTTGAAACCATAATCGGGAATGATCATATTCCCGATTAAGGTTCATATTCCATTTTCAGTCTGATCTTTTTATTGTAAAAATATTAGAAAAGAAATAAATTGACATTAAACGTGTACACAATTGAAATGTGTACACGAATATTGATCAATGTTTCAATTTATTCCCCGACTGTATCTGCGCTGACGTCATATTAGGTTTACTTTCGTTACAGAAGATTGTAGGTACGAGTACCAGGTTATCATGATTTAAAGACACGAGGTGTAAAAATTCTGTTTCAAAGATGAAGCAGCTACAGATAGACAAAGTTACCTGGAAGAGACTTAGTGATATACGTCTCCTACTTTCATAATATTGTAATTATTTTCATAAAAATGAAACTACCTATTATGAAAAAAAATTGTTCGTGCAGTAACGATTATTCTACTTATCTAGAGGTCGCGATATTTCTTCTTCCTCTGCTTCTGTATTTGTTTAGATTAGATGAAATTGATTTTATGAGTACATTATTGAGTGACGTGTGGTACCATTAATTATAAAGATTATTATTTTGGAGGGACCGTTCTACAGTTCGTAAAGAAATATTGTACGAGCATTACAGGCGAAAGTATTTAATCCAGTGCAGTGAACATAGTGTACTGTTTATTGTTTGTTTCCGTGTCTGGTGTGTGCGTAGCACGGTCATAGTAATATGGCAAGGTATAATGGAAAGGGAGCTCTAATCTGAATAAAAACGAATTTTGGAAAAAGTTTTAAAATAATGTTTTCGTGTAATATTTTGCATGTTCGAATATTTGCGTATGTCCACATAACTAGAAAAAATATTTCGCTGTACTGTGACGTAGGCACTAAATACCAGTAGATATAACCAGTCTGGCAAAGTAATAGTCTTTGATTTAGAAGTCAATGAACTGAAACAGCTGATCATAATGTCGGTGTGCTTCGATAAATGGTATCGAAAATTTTGCTAAACTTCGATATTGTTTTTTTCAATAAATACAATGGCTACGATATTAAGGACAGCGTCCATTATCTCAGTTTTATGTATACTCAATGCCATTTTCGGGATAACGGGTTTTTTTGTAACACGCGGTATATATATATACCTGAAATGCAACACTAAATTAACTTGCTAAATTATTCTTTATAGAAATTTTAATACGCTTTGAAATAACCCAAGCGATTTAATAAATTGCGAATTTCAGAACTTGTTGACAATTTACAATTGTGTCCCTACAAGGAATAAATTAAGAAGGAATTTTAATATTCTCTATTAGGAATTGTTTTCCATGTTTGATTATTTTCTTCTATATATCGTCTGTAGCCGCATATTTCGTACTCCCTTGGGATTAATAAATGTAGTTTCAACTCAAATGTCTTTTTTTTATTGACCTTGCTTCTGTTATAGCATAACAACTATTGATTTGATTATTAATATATGTGACCACTTACTCGGAGTCTTTCTTCTGGTTCTCTGCTATCTCAGCCTCGTAACTAGGCAAGTAAAACTGGGGAGCCCGCTTGCCTCCCACTATGCTGAGCCGTTCTTCTGGAGTCGATTGGAATCTTCTCTCATCCACGCGGCCGCTCTGGAATCATTGAAAACATTCATGTTAAACTCAAAAATATTAATTAATTTCCTATGTATTTATTTTACACATTTTTTTTGTTAATTTAACAATATTTTGTTACTTTTATACAAAAACACAAAGTTTTCTGTGTACTAACTAAACAAAAAAGAAAAAAAAATAAAGACAAAAAAGAAAAGCAAAAGATGATTATATAAAAATATATTCTATTAATTAAATAAAATATTAAATGTTTGTCATTGAATTAATATTACTTTGCGTTTCTAACTCAATGTTATTTGTCCTTCTTACACGTGAGACAGAAAGTCGTTATAGTATGGCAGAAGACCCGGTTTTGGCCAAGGCGCTTTTTAGGCCAACGTCGTTTCGTTGAAATAAGGAGGTTCATGATAAACCCCCTAATTTACCGTGAACGGTTTTTTTAAGTTTTTCATAGCAAACCTAAACCATTGACAACTGTGATGTTTCAAAGTTCACTTCCTCGTACAATGGCCGAAACCAGTATATAATCTTAAAATGACCAAAACCGGGTCATCTGCCAGATATTTTTTAAGTGGAGATAGGGTATAGCATACTTTTTACCGCGAAAAAACATTATTTCTGATTACGCCGATAATATACGCCGATGATTACGCCTACTAGGTACCCAACCCAAAATTTAGTCAACAAAAATTATTTTACATTTAACACATGATTTATCCGTTATAAATGATCATAAAAAATAGTGCCAGAAATTCAAAGACAAGGTCCGAAACACTGACTCACATCAATTAGCAACATGTGTGCGCCATATAATGTTACCCATTAGGGACAAAAAGGGTTTCTTTCTAAGAAATATATTACAAATGAATATCTGAATACTCAGTAAAATATGTAGAAGAGTCAAAACTCCATGCCATTCTTGTTCAAGTAATAAATACTCTTATTTACAAATACCCAAAATCGTAGAGTAGAAATACCAGTGAACTTATTTTTTGAACTATAAATAAGAAATTACCTATTCTTATTCTAATATCCTACCGATGTAAAACGTTACATCACGTAAATGTTAACATTACAATACCAAACGTAGTAGGAATTCTAAATATAAACGCCGGTTAATTACCCTTCGGTTAAATTAAGACCACCAATGATACTTATGGCAGCAATCCTTACCAGGAATTAATAGCTACTTCAAAGGAGCAAACACTGAAGACTTACAACATCAACCTCAAAATTAATGTTTGATTCCAATTATTGTGTTAGATATACGACATTGTCAATACATTTGACAGATGTTTGAAACAATCCGATTAGCAATCAGCATATAAATAGCATTCGCTTGCTATTCATTAATGTGAAAGCCTACCGAAATTTAGCAGACATATAATAATATATTATACTAATAAAATAATATTATTCTCTTTCTTTTTTTGTGTCCCATCGGGAGCGGAATGTAAACTCGTTATTTCTTACCTTGCTAGTAATTTTTTGATACTGTAACTGAAATGACACAATTTTTTTGTGAAGTTGCTATTACCAATTTACATAGAAACTTTAGTAGCTTTCTTTGCTAATGTGCTAGATTTTATTTCTTCGGATCTAATAAGCTAAATAATAGATAAAAAGCAGTTGCGTCACAAAATACAAATTTAGTCAAGCCGAAGCACAACACCCCCTTAATTTCATTAATATTATGAATGCGAAAGTTTGTGAGAATTAATGTATGTTACTTTTTCACGCAATAACTACTTAATACTATATCATGTAATAACTAAACTGATTTTTATGAAAGTTGGGATACGTATAATATTTATCCTGAATTAACATATAGGGTACATTTTATCCTAGTAAACCACGCAGGCGATTTGCTAGCAGAAAGCTAATCTATACTAATATTATGAAGAGAAAATATTTCATTGATTGTTTGCATCGAATAGACTACTAAACCAATTTTAAAAATTCACGACAGAATGCTACATCTACCAAACGCGGGCGAAGTAGCGGGAGAACAGTTATTAATAAATAAATATTCGATCCTCACCTGATCTTCGGCCTTCACATACAGCACATACTCCATATCCAACTGGAACGGATCTGTGCCTCTCGTTCTAACAACACCTGACCTCTCGTCTACTTCAAATCGACCTCCAGTGCGGTCTCTTACGATAAAGTAATGGATATTATGGTCAGTGTCTGGATCTCTTGCTTGGAGAGTGAACACGGGTGTGTTGGGAGCGGCATTCAGTTGGACGACTGTCTGCATTGGCAGCGGTCGGTTGATGAAATAAGGGGGTTCATCGTTTACGTCCTTCACATGGATGATGACACGTTGGTTGTCCGTATCTGGAATGATTCGTTGTTCATTGTTAATTTTCTAAACCTATTCACTTATATCAAAATTATTAACAAAATGATGTCCCTACTAGATAAAGTGGTTTAAATGACATCATATACTCCCCATTCAAACTGCACTTAGATAAACATGGCGACCAATGGCTCACCAGAAACACAATATGTAAGTATTGTACATGCAGGGTTGATTTCACTGCTACAATTCAATGAAATTACATTTAAGTCAGTAAACATAATTAGGGTCACACGAACGTGACTTTGCATCTAAAACAAAAATAAAATCACAGAGTGAGTTTATAATACGCAGATTAAAGTTCAATATTTTTAATAAGATTGCCCGATTATATTGTGTAAAATATTAATATTCATTTAAATTTAAGTCATCTTAAGGCTAAGAAAAATTGGATGATAAGAAATTTGTAATGTTTAGACTAATGAAAGTTGCTGCTTTAGAAAGACCGTTTTAGAAATATTCTATCCTAATTTTTAAGATCATAATATATTTTCGAGCAAACAAAAGTATGAAAAAACTCAAAATCAACCCAAAAGCAAACGCATATGTCATAAGCTGCTTTACTGCTGTTTCCTTATATAAAAAAAAAAAACATATTTACTAAATAATGAAATGTTCGGAAACACTAATTTAATTTACCAAAGATGCATTTATTAACTAAAATGTTTAGAAATTATAAAATAAGAATAATAAAGTCTTTACTACAATAACGAAATCACAAAGATGTACACTTAAATATTTTGAAAATATAAAGGAGGATTTCCAATAAACATAAGTACCACCCCTAACCTAGCAATAATATCCCTAAATCAACGTGGTATGAACACTGCGAATGGACAATCTAAAATGTAGATTCCCAAATACATATTCAAAAACACTGTATAAACATCTACGGTAGAATTTCGGGGAAAACGTGGAGAGAAATAGTATTTCATTGCGATCTAAATGGCAGCAGGAAACGTTAAAGCAAGCATGCCAACGGCTAAAAGAAATTTAAATGTTTTCTGTGGTCTTCTTCGCCGGGACAATGGCGAATGATTTATTTTGCAATTATACTTTTTTTAATTCAGCAAAGTGAAATTAATTTAGTTTGAACTTTTTCAGTTCGTTCGTTAAATTTAAATATAAGTATATTGAACGTATAATTCAGTTTTCGCTCAAACACATATTTATGGGTCTTTAATAATGCAAGTCATTTTTCACGGACGGCTGCATATTTCCAAATCGACATTGAATCCTGCTATGTCAGACAAGAATATAAAGTAAGCTCCAAAATTATAATAATGTCATACTTACATTTCAAAGCCACTGTCGGGTTAGCATGGAAAATACAAAATTTATATGTTAGTCACTCATAAAACAATAATTAAATTATATCAGTAGGTATATATCAAACACTTAATCTAAGATTTTATGACAAAGAGAAAACGCCACCCTTATTGGAAAGTTTAAGATTATACAAAACATAATAACTGTACGATTACATCCACCTACCAATAAGAGTAACAAAATTAAAAGATTTTCTGAAGCGGTGTATATTGTATATACGATAGCACATAAAAAGATAACAAAATGTCAAAATATTGTTAAAACGTTTTAAAAATATGTGGTAAATTAATATATAGTTAATAGGTAAATATCTAAATTTAATTTAAAACTTAGTCGATGTGGATAATCACTATTCTACACTGTGACATAAGTTTTGACGGCGTTTGATAATCCCTTGCTTTGGTAAACGATTACTGTTATAATGTGACGTAGCGAGCCCCCACTCCTCAACTTTAATGCCTGTTATCTAAGCTATTTCTCGTTAAATTGAAATTAAAAAAATACGTATCTAATATTTTTCTATTATCTGACTGACGGACTAAATAGAATTGCATTTTTTTTTTTTACCCAATCGTCATTTGAGATGTCTATGGTATAGATTCTAAATTTTAATATACACGCAGAACCCTTGATATGTTAGTCCGGCTCGTTCTTGACCGACTTTTTTATTATTTGCCATTATATAAGCCATCATAGGTAACTATTACGTAATATTTTCAAGTGTTTAAAGTATGTTCATTCAAGGTTAGGTCTTATAATGATAATAGTTAACATTCTATTAAAATGCGATTATTATTTAAACTTAACATTAACAGAATTGGGCTACTTGTTTATCAGCGTTGAATTCGATGAACATAGCGTTGACAGGGCATAGCGATTCAATCAAATAAAAACTATTTTAAAATGTAATAAATATGACAGAGCTGCAGTCAACCTCGAGTTAGAGGATATTATTTAATAGAATAAATGTAAATAAACTTAACATACTCAGTTTTGGCTTTACCTATTAACAAAATAATAGCGAAATAAAAACTCAGCAAAATAATTTGTACTTTAGTAATGAACAAAGATTTTTTTAGCCTTAAATATATTGTTTTACAATCAAGAAATTATCTCATTATTAAACATAGCCTCTAACGTTGCCGCATATTTTTGGTGTCCTTTTTTTGTCCGGGGATTTAAGGCAATCCCTGGTATAAATCCGGCGTTTGCTGTAATCCCATTGTGTGGATCTAGTTTCAGTGGTTGTTTCACACACAACTGAACATGTACAGTACATTGACCTTTACAAATGATAGTTCCAAAGGTCACTTCGCTTATCAGTAGTTAAGTAGATCTACTTAATTGAATATTATGTTGTCGGTGATATAGTTGAATTGAAATATATAATTAATTTATATATATGTGCAAAAACATGTAACGTGGAGAGAATTCGATAACGCAGCCCACTTACAAGGAAACACCATACACGGAGTGTTATAGACTATAATTTACGCGGACGAAATCGCGGGAAAACAGATAGCTCTATATTATAAAGTCACACAAATGAAATTAAAGTCTGTTGCGTGCCATGCGTGTGTTGTCTGGCTGGGGTTAGTGGACATTTACCTTCAATGTAACAAGATCTGTCTCAAAACGCTCATCGAAACCATAAAAAATCACTTTATTGCCTATCTAACTGTCTTTGTTTGTAATAAAACTTTTTTACATGGTATAAATAAAATAGCCTTATTTTCAACAAATCAAATTTTACCACAATACAGAATCTGTTAGTAAGTTTATGTAGGTAGTAGTTTACACTACAGCAAAGTTATTTTATAATTTAACAACCTTCCCGTTAGTAGCCTTGCCCGCGTGGTCCTTAGGGAACTGTTTATTTAGATATTGATTCATATCATGACACGGATATAATTATAATGACAAATTGAATAGTAAACAATGGTTACTATGGCAACGTTTAAATTCTCTATACAAAGTTCGACTCCTATTTTCATCCCTTTATCTGCCGTTTTTCATATCTATGTTCACCGCATATAAAGTAGCTTCTTTCTTTGCTCTGTATAATATTAGTATCATAGATATATACTGAATTATTAGATTCTTGTTATAATACTGGCCGGTTATGGAATGGGTGACCATAAATGTATTATCTCAAGCTCCTTCGTGCTTCGGAAAGCACGTTAAGTCGTAGGAAAGGCCAAAGGAGTGGGTACATTTTGGGCTACTGATGACACGTAACGGATCCTGTTTAAAATACGTTAATAGTTTTTCTTATCTATACTAATATTATAAAGATGAAAGATTTCATCATTTAATTGAACGCATTGAATAGGCTTCAAATGTACTAGACCGATTTTTAAATTATTTAACTATTTAACAGAAAGCTTAACGATACGCGGAAGTCATAGGATATAATCGAAATAAGCTTAACGATACGCGGAAGTCATAGGATATAATCGAAATCGTCGTGTTTGCCATTGAGACACAATAATAGTAAGTAGTAAATTTTTCAGAAGCATAATGGAAACGAAGAATTTTCACGTACTCCTTTAGAGCTAAAAGAATCCCCCGAATGAATGATAAAAAAAAACCATTAAAGCTTCTTATTTCAGTAAAGATAATTTTTCCTTTAAATTGACCTTGCCTACAAAGGTAGCTCGGTAGCATAGTGCATAAGCGCCGCGGCATGCAATCGTTGTTGTTAAGCTACTTTCGCATGGGTTGATTACAGGAAGGGTGACCAAAAAGTAATATCTCGAGCTACTCCGTGCTTCGGAAGGCCCGATTAATACCTTCCAATCAGTATCGGGACATAGTGGAGGGTCATGGCCCATCTTCTTTAACCGTCCAAGAGGAAGGCATGAGCCCCTGCAGTGGTGATGTAAAAGAACTGATGATGATGATGTATATATAGGTATATGTAAGTAACATCATCAATCTCTCTTTGTTGGTGTTGTTAGAGCACAGTTTGATACAAATACACTTGTAGGCGTGCTTATTTAATAAATATTTAATCTTGAACACTATGATAAATCTTAGCCGAAAATGAAGATTGCTTTACCCGTAACTCTCGTAAACAAGTTTCAATCTAATAAACACTGCGTAAAACGTATCTCAGACATAGACAGAATAGGAGTTTCAAATAATTCAAGATAGTCTGGCAAACAAAAGGCGGACGGCCTAGTGGGGGTGCATTTGTAGCTACGTAAATCTGGCCGTGAGCCAAAAATCTTGACATATGCATGTAACATAGCCACGACCACACCGAAAACTTTGATGTTTACACGAAAGAGGAATTTGTTTTGAAAAAATCTCTTCAGACGGTCGATTATTAAGATCTTTGTTGAACAGCAATAAAAAAACTGTAATATAAGGTAATAGAACCTTCACGTATTAGGTAATAAACTTCAGTCTTATCAGTAGTTAATTATCCTTAAATCATCATTTACCCTCGTCTAAACCGATTTCTGCCACTCCCGTTGTCTGAAGTTTCGCAATCTATAAGATTCATAATCATTTTGGTTTATTTACTTATGGCATTTCTACGTGAGCTGAAAAGTAAGGGGAACGTGGGGAACGCCTAGCTGAATACATTCCTAATACCACCCCAATTTGGCCGTGCGCCAACCATTGATAAGATCTGATTTTCAACAACAAAAACTTTATCAAAAACCACCACTCATCATAAACGCCTAACTTTGCACCGGTAAATAAAAGAATACATCCAATCACCATGCGCACAGGTATTGGATATTTCGAAAGTTCATTCTTTCAATTATATTTTCATTTCCAATGGACACGGACATATTGCAAGCGGGAATTGAAAATTCAATTATGACTCTGATTGTCGAAGAACAGTGACGTAAACGACAGCTCTCTGGATGCCGTGAAATATAAGCAGGTTTTAATATCAGGACTGCGAGGTGTGAGGTTATAGCAGGTGATAGAGGGGGGTCAAACGTAGTCTGCCCTCCTTCCACCATCTCCGCTACGCTGGTGCGCATGCGTACTCTATGGCCGCGTGTTTTCCTCGTGACTCGTACGAAGGCTACGCCGGCCGCGTCTACAGCATGCCGTACTAGTAAAACGAAAATTATTGCCATCTCTTTCCATTCGTAATGTAACATACCGTTGATGTAACACTATTCGCTTAAACAAATGGGGGATATGTAAAATATCGTACTAAATACACATAAGTAGTGTTATATACTGTTTCATTGCTTTATATAAGAAAAAATATCGTACTGAAGTTGAACATTCAATTAATAAAGATGCATTCAAAGCAAAACACTTCCATTCATTTTCAATAGTAGTATTTGAGTAGTAGACTTCAGTTAGCCGGATATTCGTCGCTTTCAGTAGATTAAAAAGGTTCCTACATCGAACCATCAGCAAGTAATTACCTTACTTTAAAGATGCAGTTTATCGTACCTATTTTATTTCTATATTTTTTTACTTTAACAACTTTGAAAACAATATTATTGTGAATGCGAATTGTTTTATAATAATCTAAGAAACGTTGATAGAATTCGATTGTATACTTAGTGATGCTATCCTTAATATTTTTAATAGGAACTTCACTATTTATTAAATGATCAATGTGTGAAAATATAAAGAACAAGTTAGTAATTACTTACTTCACTATAAATCCTGTTCTTTTAGATGAAAATCGAGCTAAAACCCTGGGTTATTTAGTTATTAAGAATCTCTTAATCCTGTTATTTCTTAAAACAATATCACGAAGTATTTTATAAACGCGACAAGGTCTCCAAAAAGCGGTAACGAAGTTTGTTTCGTTATAAAAAAGCTATTAATCATACAACACTACACACAAACTTTTGATAGGTTTTGATTAATGATGAATTTAATGTCAAGTTAAAATTGTTTAAAGTATTTTCTTACAGATGACACCATAAGCCAGCCGCGGTGCTTTTAATCAATCATAAACGAAATTACTTTTCCAATTCCTTTATTGGTAACATCATGAAAAATATATTTAATCAGCAATGAGTCCTAAGAAATATTAAATGGTTTTTCTTCTTAATAGAAGAAAAGTCTATTATTCATGAGCTCACAGTCTACGGCTATTAGTATTGGACCAGCGGTCCTCAATTTTCCTTTTTAGTGTACCGTTCCTCAAATACAGAACCTTATACAATAATTTGTATGTCTGTCTGTCCGTCCATCGACCCGATATGCTCTGAAACTAAAACCTATACCAATTCAAACTTATGTAAAATGGTAACCTAAATCGAAAATCGGATTTCAAACATGGATACCATTTTTGAAGAGTTATATTAGAAAAAACTAAATGGTTTTGACATGTCAAATTTCTTTTTTTATAATTTTACATAGAAAAAAATACTTAAAAAGGTAAAATATACATAATTCATACAAGTAAATGTCTTAGTTGTAAGATGTCCCTTTTTACCGACTGCAATAGGAGGGTTATGGTATTTTGTTTTAAAATAAAAAAGTATCAGCATTTATAAGAGACTCTCACATACATGATAATGATGATGTAGATCTAAGATTTAAAAGAAATACCAATATAAAATTGCAGACCGATAAGACAGTCACGTTCCACACAAAAATATTGTAAGATTTAAATAGGATTCGACCTTACCTTTTTCTTAGCTTGCTTGTACCAAAACAGAATAAAAAATGTCGAACAAAACCCAACTTTGTAATAACGCCTAGCCTATTCTAGTCTAAACAGATGAAAATTTAACAGCCTTAGCTTTTAACGAAAGAATAAAATTTATTTCCATTACCTGCGAATACTTTCAGCGGAATACCATTTTTTATTAAGATTTATAACCCTGTTAGCCTTTTTTATAGACAAATTAACCATTCACAAACTTTTAGAATTTAATGATACACACCTCTTTCAGTGGTTCAAAATTGAAAGTCATGTAGACATTACAGACGTATATTTATAATATCCAAATCGATTAGAACATCGATACTTATACTATGATTAGAACATCGATCTTATTATTATTGTTACTGAAAGCAACCTTAGTGTATTTAGTTCAAGTATATATTTTTTTAAGAATCTTTACCTTAAACGTGTCTTTATTCGCCTGTTGTTACTTAGTCGATTAATAATTTAATTAATAGTGATATTCAAATTTGTTATTCAAATACGATACGGCAACAACTCTGTTTTTCTACAATAATTATCAGTGGACTATATCTTCACTTCCTTTTGTTTGTATAGTGGTTGGACGCGTAGCTGGTTGGACATAAAAACAAAAACAATCAAAGAATCTGGACAGAGACAGCACTTTTTGTTTAAATATCATCGGCTTATTAATGACTAAATTCCTGGGGCGAAAGACTACGTTTTTCTACTTATGAAAACAAAAAGCGACTTCATATGACAATGACGTGTCAATTACATAAAAGATTACAAAAAGATATAATTCATTTGTTAATCATTTAGTATGCCGTATCATACAAATCCATTGGTAATATAACTGATTGGTTAGCAATTTTTATTTGCAAGTGCAGACAGATATAACCGGGACAAGCAGCAAAGCACAGTGCTATTAGAAATGGTATCTTTTTGGTCACCCTTGAAATAATACTTAACTTCTACAATTGCCGCCCGAGCTATTTAACTGTTGAGTTTAAAATTTAACTATCTCGAGCTCTTCTGTGCTTCGGAAGGCAAGCTAAGCAGCCTCGGCTGCATCTTCTTCATTCGTGAACACCGAATCATGGAGTCATGGCCCATTCTCTCTATTCGACTCTATTCCATCCATAGGAAAGGCCGGTGTCATTGGGGACATTAATAGTCTAGTGATGACGAGAAAAATTAAATGATTCGTTGTATGTACATAATGAATTCATAATTCCAATCAACATGTTTGTGGTCAAAATAATATTGACTTCACTTATCAAAGTTTTTATGAATATCCTTAATGCGCATGCAAAGTGGATATTAAATGCAAAGCATCCTATAGGGACGCCGAGTTTCCTGCACCGGCCAGACAATGAAGCCATGAAACTTTAATAACATCGATCTACGTGGAATTTATGGGCTTGATCTACGAGCAAGACGTAAAACCAATGCCTACATTGATAGAGCTAACGACCTAGATCTTATTAGTTAGAAGAAAGAAACCAAATGTGGTGTATAATATGGAATTCAGAAATGCCTTTTTATATTGCTCGTTATAAATAGGATAAATTTTGTATTAAAATAAGACACAGTTAGTGAACATTTTAACACTTAACTTTTATACAATATTTTTACTCGTGAACAGAAAAATTTAAGAACCACAGCATTAGAGGAAATCATTTAGACTGTATTACCTGTCAGCTTAATTTTCCAAACTTATTTTCAATCATGGAAAGTTTATAACAATGATTAATTTATCACCCCCTTAAGTCTAAAGGGTTAAAATAAAATAATTAATTGATGGTGATTGATATTCAAATAGCAGATCGGGAACGCAGAGTAATTTTATACAATTTTGAAAATTAGTAATTCTTTTTTTAGTTAACGTTATTACTTTTAGATAGGTACGTACTTTTAAGTACCTATCATCATATCAGGCGGAAAACGTCCACTGACCTAGACAGCCTACACCAAAAATTATCTAAGATTATGGATCGCACACGATTCTCACACTTTTTTTAGCACAAAGAAAATGCAAGCTTGCTCTCCAAACCCACACCTGTACTGAAAAGACTTAAGCGAGGCCGGCCTACACAACCGGCCCGGCCCCAACAATCCCAGCAATCCTGACCCCATACCGTCAGTCTATCTTGTGGTAGGCTTGCTTCTACTCCGTTTTCCGATCCGTAGTCGCTACCCGAGGACTTTACTATCTCAATGGCAATGTGTTCGATCAATCCCAATGATCTATTTGCCCTGCGCATTGCCATTTCAGGCTCGCAATTATTCAGCTTATATCAGTCACCAAGGTTTGACTCATTCGACTAATTAATTAATCGAAATTAAACCAATAACTAACATATTTAATTAGTGTCTACAATTACGGCTCAATGGATGGATTTACTGATAAGAGTCTTATGGGAGTATCTATACATAATTAAAACAAAGTCGCGCTGTCTGTACTTACTGTAGATCTTCTAAACCACACAACGATTGTTTGCAGTTCTCAACAATATACGCATTGATTCAAAAGGAAGGTATAAAACTTTCTTAATAAATGTATAATATAGAACCACACAGACGAAGGCGAGAGGCAATGCAAGTTATATAGATATATTAAAATTAGAATTTATAATTGATCAATATAATTTAATTTTGTAATGTAATGAAATCTAATTCGGTTATCAATTCTCATTTGGTACGAATGTTCCTCATATGAGAATGTTGAGTCAACCACTCTCTAATATTGGAAACAATAAATTTGGTTTGAACGTGTCTGCATAACCATTAGCTTTCGGCATTTGGTTGCCGTTATATGTCCTCTTGTTCTGGATTTATATTATATGAAGTTTTGTTGGTCTTTGATTAAATGAAAAAATAGGTTTTTATTTTTATTTTATTTCTATTAATTTTCTTGGTTTCCTTTTAAGCCTTAAACCACAAAGACTACGAATGGTACTAAAGATATTCACTTTGGAATACAGGATAGTATTATTTTTTCACTTCGAATGATTATTAATCGTAAGTAGGTAACCTTTATTACAATAAAAGGTAAAACGTTTAAGCAATTACATAAATAAACCTCTACCACCTAAATCCTTTTACCAATATACAATAGATAAATTAAATTAAACAATTTCGCACTCAGACCTTTGGAGTTGAACAAAGGAGTTTGATTGAATTAGAAATGTTAAACAAAGAGAATGTTAAAAAAAATCGTGTATACTTAATTACAGGCAACCAATTTGAGCAAGCAAGTTAAACGATAACCAACATTAGCATTATGGCGTGTTATCCCCAAGAGTGCTGTAATGGCTTGTAGCCGTCACCTATTCAAATACCTTTTAATTTTTAATTCATAAATAAGGAAAATACTGTGTTTCTAATAACACTGAAATATTTGGCCTAATGCTATAGTTTAGTCCGGCTCTGTAGATCTATCAAACATCAAGTCGCTAGTAGATTAAAATATAATAAGGTATATTAATAAAATAAGAATAAAAATCGTGGCTTCTATTATATAGTAGATATTTATGCAATATATATCAAATATTCGATATTTTGATATTTATTATAAATATCAGATTTTTGCGAACCCTGGAAAAAGAGTAACAACTGCTTGCAGAATTCATCAGTCCTGATCATGGGTAGCTCAGTAGTTAGAGCAGTTGCCCGGATCGCGATAGGTCGTGGGTTCGAACCCCACCTCATAGTAACAGGGACAGAGTGGATTTTTTTTAGCATTTTTAATTAAGAATGTGGACCAGTATAACAATGCATAGTTGATCAAATATAATAAATATTTTTAGTTACGTGTTTTGGTAATTGTTAACTAAAATAGTTGATGTTTAAATGTAAATTAATATTTATTATCGCATTATGGGCAATGACAATAATCTATATTTTTTGAAAATATTTTTTCTTATAGTTTTATTGTTACAAAATAAAACATGGGAGCTGTAAGTTTTCCGAACTAAAATAAATACTTAAAAAAAATTCAAAACTGTCAATAATCCGTCAGTGAGCACTTTCTCTTTTTCTTACCAAATTAGTTACAACTAATAGAAGTTGTTCCTCCATTACCTGAAAATAAAAATAAAAAAGTATTAGATAATGTATAATAAAAAGTTCATCCACATATAAATAAAATTGCACTCTGAGAATGAAAATGACTGAAAGTGACTCAAAGTGAAAATGTAAGTGACTCAAAATTTTGCAAGTGAAAATGAAAGTGACTCAAAATTTAGCAAATTTTTTAATACGTATTAACTTACAAATAAGATAGGGGCTCTCGTCAAATAATTAAACGATTTATTAATGTACTTAAAGCAATTTAAATATGCTTTAATTATATGTACCTGGTTAAAGTGACATCGAGCTAGAATAATGATTGGATATCGATAGGAAAAATGGGTCACTTTCATTTTAACAGCTAATACGATATGGGAATAGACAAGCACCAAGCAGTGACTGTCCCCGAAGTCGAATATGGAAGAATGGATTTTATGTTGGAACTTGTCATAATTTGTAGACTGATCGACATGTATATTAAATCAACACAGGTTTCATTAATCATAAATAATCAATTAATCCGATCTAGTCGTTGGAAAGTAGTTAAAAAAATACAAAGGCGGTTGCAAGTTCCATAAGCTTCTATTAGCTAATTTTATTCTACTAATTTTAGTGTTGATGAAGATCGTTAAGATAATATAAACGACGTAGTTGTTCTACTTTCAAATAAAATAAAATTTATGAAACATTTTTAATAAGGCCTCTTGGAGAATTTACCCTTTCAAACAAATAATGAATGATCAGCATCGGTTTACTAAGGAAAAAGATATCAAACAGAACGATGAAACACGTAGTTGTAATGTTACGTACTTTGGAAATGTTGTTTGATCGCATATTAAAGGAGCGAGAAAACAAGACGAACAAAACAGGTGAGGCGATGAAACATACGAATAATGATGTATCACGAAATATAGCGTTAAAACGATATTTAATTAATTATTTTAATAAATTTCTCAATCCCACCCCTAAGCTACAAAGTAATAGATGTTTTCTGACAACTTTGCCTCGTTAATTATCAGCCGCGTATGGTGTATTTTCCCGGAACAGATCTTATTTTAAATCGGTCCAGTAGTTTCTACACCCATTCGATTCAAACAAATAATAAAGATATTATTTAAAAAACCTTTTTTTTTAAGAAAAATTTTATTTGTTTGTTCCTGACACTCTGAGATGGACACGACCCTTTCGCAATACCGGTGACTTCTTAAGCATTTTCATGAAGAATATTTTTCAGTATAGCATTGTGAATGCAATATTGATCAAATATAATAAAAAAATCTATCCTCCCTATAATATTAACAAAAATTTGCTTTTTCATGTTTTTTTTTTAATTTTGGAGTTAAGACTTTTTCTATGTTAATAGTAAATTTCAAATAAGTGAGTTTTTCATTAAAAATGCTCCTTTATCGCCTCCACACACGCACCAGCCGCACAATCCGTTGCGTGTCGTGCGGCCGGTGCGTTCGTGCTGATATATGGACGCTCACTTCATGAAGCCCTTTTGGACCAGCGCAATCGCTTCGATCCCACAACGATAACCAAGTAACTATTGCGACTATTTATTTTGAGCCCAGTGGAGGAAATCAAATCAAAACTGTTGTTTATAAAAAAATTGCACAGTCCGTAGTCACTGAACAAAATAATTATGCTCTAATGCCTAGCAATTATTCGTACGGCATATAGAATTCCAGTAGCACGAAACCGTTTCCAATTTAATGTTGACAACATGGCACTAATTAATGTTGGCACAATTAATAACATACGTTTATAGGCCGCAGTTTAAAATTTGGGTTACCACATTTCTATCAACAGAAGTCGACCTGAAAATAGTTTGTAAATGTATTTATAATTTATAATTGTATTTATACAACATACATAAATCAGTTATTGTAGGATGTAGGTTATGTTGTCTAAAATTATTAACTCAATTATTACAATATGTAGGTACTCGTATTTCCCGAAACTCTTACAAATTCGCTCGTATAGTAAATAAATAAATTTTAAACATGTATTTTTTTTATTCTATATAATTTACCAGATATAATATTTAAAAAAAAGCAACTATATCTACCTTTTATGTGACATATGGAAGGACTTATTGTAACAATCTCAAATAATAATATATATATTTAAATACATTAAATAGTTCTATAATGTAGAGATTACAAGAAAACCTGCAGTAGTATTTATAGCCTGAAGCAGTATTTAAAAATTTGTGTGAACGAGACCCTTTGCGCACGAGTCGACTTGATCGGCTTTTTTAGTTTATATAACCTTTTTGTTTTACACAGAAGTTCTGCTAGTGTGCTGGAGAGAAGAAAAATATTTATTGTCTATAAAAATGACTCATGATTTATCATTTATTTCGAATTCTTCGTTTGGAAGTCATAAGTAACCTACAGTATTTTTAGCTACACGTAAAATCGTTACATAAACTCACGTAAACGTTCATTGAATTAATATTATGTGTGTAAAACCAAATAAAATAAAACATTTACAAAATAAAAGCTGAGATTACAGACAGTAAGTTAGCTTTATTGCCTCCGGTGATGTGGGTTTCGCTCCAGTTATGCCGTTTTCAATGTGTGACCTAACATATTATCTTTGCGAAGTCCTTTATGCTCTAAAAAAAAAATTATACAAAGTTATTTAACTGACTTATTTTGTTCATTTGTTAAATAATAAAAATAAAACGTTCAAACTTGTTTTAACAAATAAATGATTTATGCGCGTGAGTGAGTTTTAAGAAGCAAACAAATAACATTAAAAAGATAATTAAAAGTTCTGTTAATGGCAATACATGTCATTAAATGTGCCAGCAGAACAATCTGGTCGGGAGAACGATATATTTTCTTTAAATTAAAACCTTACTTGAGAATGACATGTGACAAATTGACATACGAAACTAAACGTATGAAAGTATGTTAACCGTTTCTAATAAAATAAGCTAAGAAATCGCTTATACTCGTACCAGCTCAGGCAAACGTCTAGGATTAAAAGTCATAAATTCAGCTTTACTGAACATATTAAGTCCGCGTACTACTTAGTTTAATAAAATCAAAGTTATAAATTTGAAAGTTTATTATACGTAAAAATATTTATTGAACTTTTTAATCTAGACCATTGCACATTGTAAGAATATTTACTTTATGAATGCATTTGCAATATTAGCTCCAATTTATACGTACTTTGAAATCGCTCTCTGAATTGAAATTTTTTAAATGTTCAGCGAACGAACCGATTACAGTACGATAAAACCTTATTTTCGCAGAATTAATATTCCAACTAACAAAAAGCAGGTGTATCACAACAAATTAATAAAGTCAACGACTGCAGTTTCTTTTGTTTTTGTTTTTCGAAAAACTGTTCAGGTATCTCTATCAATAGTTAAACTTAAACAAACATACATAGGCGCGAAACATGCGTATCCGACATAAAATAGACATAAATAATCATAGTTAGAGTCATCAAAAATCTTTGAAAACTCCTGCTGGATTATATAAACTTTTAAACTTTCGCGTTGCATTATATTAAATTGTATAAGACGGGTATTAGCGATATACGAGTATAGGTAAGAAAAACCTAACTATCAAAATCTATCGCGTTAATACCCGTCTTATACAATCTAATATCCTGCTGGATTATTATATCTATGTCAAACTAGCCTTATCTCCTGCCATCTTAATATTTCATATATAATCTATACTCATTTCATCTTGTGTTGTGACAGTAATAGTATCATCCCAGGTGAAGAATATTTGTAGTTGCTAAGTCATAGTATCATAGTAGACCTATTTTTTTACATGACGACTTCATCATGCCTTCCCATGTCTCATTTCCCAGCAGAGGGTACACTTAGTAGGTCTCCAGTGACATAAAAGAGTTCCACATCCATAGAGATTGTGCTTAAAGCATTTACTCGACGAATAAAAAAGAGCGTTGTAGGAGTTCGAATTGAAAGATTGAGTTCGGAAAACAATAACTTTACTTAACTTTCAATACAGTTAGGTACCTTACAATTAAATATTTATGAGATAATTTATAATAAGTTATAACTATTTGTGCGGAAGGGAGCCGGCCGTATGCTTTCTATGGCGTCGTCGCGTGAACTACTAGCTATCCTAACGTCGCAATACTGCTGCCCACGTTACCGCTAGGGATGTTCGCACTACAGCGTATCGTTTGTTTCCGTTCTTTGTGCGTTCATTATATATGTATTGTGTAATCGAAAAGTCCTTTACACACATTACTTAAATGACAGGTCAAAGAAATAGTCAAAAGCGTGAGCCCGTATCCGTATCTATCTAATGAAGGTATGCACCACTATTTTAATTGCATGCGCTTAGCCCTTATACTACACAAGCGCCCCCAAATGGCCAGACAAATTGACCGTCACACGCGATTCCTTACTTAAAGGCACCTACTGTTAATTCTCTTTATTATAATTATCACCGTTTTGTTTATATTCACATTCGATATTTGAAAAAATATATTGGAAAAGCTTATTTTTTTTTTAAATGGCTTTTAGAGTTCTCGATGGATCTTGTTACAGAAAACTCTTTATCGTTTGTTATCGAAACTCTTTAGCAATATAGAATTCGCATGACAATCTCCTCGTTTTTTTTAACACCGTTGGTTGCGAATATGTACATTAGTGATTTTACATATCGATAATGTTTTTCTATTGTTGATCATTAGGTGATTGCACGCTTCTAGCAATGAATAGTGTTCGTAACCTTTCCCTGAGTAGTTTAAGTTCTTTAGTTGGCTAAACTTGAAAAAATCAACTGTTTCAAATAAATTAATTTTATATCCAATATTTTTTTGTAATATTCCGTTGGTCCCGGCTGCATTTGTAGTCGTTAATACCTGCCGATCCGCATTGGGCCAGCGTGGAGGGTTATGGCCCATGCTCCTAAGCCGTAGCCGGGGACGTATAAGAGCTGGTTGTGATTCACAGAGGGCCTGAGTCCCAGCAAACATGGGAACATTAAAAGGCTGATAATGATGATAATTTGTAACGCCAATTAAGTAATATAGCTTCATGAAGAGGTTTCGTTTTCGTCACGTTTTACTATGATTTACTAAGAGCATAAGGCTTATCTATTACCTATAATTCTATGAGTTATTGATAATCTCGATTACCTTAGTCATTTATACCTCTTTGATTTCAGAACTTTGGTAATTCTACACTCGAGTTAAATCACGTCCAATCTATTTATCGGTTATATGATACCAACCCAACTTGGTCTGTGATTTACGCAAATAGATTAGACATTGTATCACCTTTAGCTGCCATCAAGCAGAATTTCCATCAAGATTACGCCTCTATTACAATATCTACGACTATACATATGAAATGAAAATATATTTATTCAAGTAGGCAATTACAAGCACTTTTGAAACGTCAAAAAAATTTTTTATCCCCTACCACTTGTTCAGGACGTCTTTTAGCTGACAAGAAGAACAAGCGAAAGAAACTTACCAGCTTTTTATCATAAGTAATGACATTTACATAAATTATGGCATTACCAAAATAATATGTACTATCACAATAATAAATACAACTTTCAAAGTCTGTAGGACATAGGTTGAACATATAATTAGTCTTTATAGAACAAAGCGAAGGCTATCAATCCTTAAAATAATCATCAACTTTATAATAGCCTTTACTCATAAGTATATTCTTTACATGAATTTGAAATTTATTTATGGGTAGGTCAATTACATTTTGTGGAACTTTATTGAACATAGCAATACATTTACCCAGAAATGATCCTCTGGTTTTTTGAAGTCTGAAGCTTGGAACGGCAAGTTTATTTTTATTTCTTGTGTTAAGATTATGAACACTACTTTTTTTTGTGAAGGAATCGTAATGTTTTCTTTTGTACATAATATTCTCATAGATGTATTGAGAGGCAACAGTCAGAATATTTATTTCTTTAAATATTTCTCTGAGAGATTCCCTAGACCGTAAATTATATATAGCACGGACAGCTCTCTTTTGTAGAATAAAAATATCCTGAATGCTAGCCGCAGAACCCCACAACAATATACCATACGTCATTACACTATGAAAATAACTAAAATATACCAATCTTGCCGTTTCAACATTTGTCAAGAGTCTAATTTTCTTAACAGCAAAAGCTGCAGAACTCAGTCTACTTGACAAGCTATCAATATGAGGTTACATACATATACATAGAGATTTTCCACTAATAATTCTATCTCGTCTTCTTAATATTACTATACATTCAAAAATCTCGAGTGTGAATATAAATAAAACAAAAACCGGGCTAGTGCGATTCGGATTCGTGCACGAAGCGTTCCATGCCGGAAACAACCAAAAAATCAAGTTTGTTGTATGGGTCCCCTTAAATATTAGTTTAATATCAATTTAATTGTTTATTTTTTAAGTTACTATATAAATACATATTCTATAAATATTTAAAGCATCTATCGATATCGTGCAAAGACAAGCAAAAACTCAAAAAATTCAACTGTCTAACTTTCACGGTTCATTGGTGAGAGACAGACAGCGAAAGCTTAGTAAAAGGGTTCTCGTTGTGCCCTTTGGGTACGGAACCCTACGAAAAGTATCAAATTATTAAATCTCCTTCAGTTTAGACTGCAAAATAATTGGGGGGAAACAATTAATGTACGAATATTAAATATTAAATTCGAATGTATTAATCCGGAGGTAACTTTAAAAAACGAGTAGCTCGGTGGCGTAGTGGACAAGCGCCACGGCCCGCGATCGTATTCGTTAAGCAATTTCACAAGGGTCGGTCAAGGGATGGGTAACCAAAAAATTATTATCTCGAACTCCGTGCTTTGGAAGGAAGGCACGTTAAGCCGTTGGTCCCGGCTACATTTGCAGTCGAAAATACGCAATTCCCAAATCCGCATTGGGCCAGCGTGGAGGCTAAGGAAGGCCTGAGCCCCTGCAGTGGGGGCGTTAAAGTGTTGATGATGAATGAATGAACTTTAAAACAACAACTATGATAATAGAACAAAGAAACTAAAAAAAGTTTCTGCCCGCGAGTTGTGATCACTATTTCACATCAACGATTCAAACACAACACTGATAAAGATACAACGTCAAAATGTTGATACAGAAGAAAGCCAAGACAGAACTTTTACCATTAATTGATTGCGTGGTGATTTAGACATAAACTTACCCGAGTATACTTGAAAGTGCTATGATTGACAACGAAGCGAAAATCAGTATTTTTGGCTTTCGCTTCTCTCTGCCTACCCAAAAAGGAATCTGACGTAAAGATGTAAATAACTACATTTTCTACAAGGAAACAAAGGAAACGGAACCGGAGATCTTTAAAAGTGATATCAAATACAAGCTAGTTATAAGTTTTTATATTGATTTACCTAGTCTGTGTCGTATTATTGCCTTATAGTAGTATCTACAGAAACAAAAATGAGGGAGCAATAAATAGACACATTATTGCTCACATTTTCATTTGGGGTGAGGAAATTTTTTATTAAATTATTTTGTTAAAATCGCATAAACTTCACCTATTAATTGACAAAAATATAATTCCGATAACCTATTTACGGTAACTTTCTACTAACCTATGAACCGGATAAGAAAAACTATAGATACGAGTACCAACCGAAAATAAAAATAAGTCGTCCAAATATAGAAAAATACGAAAAATAAGGAACTCGAATACCTAAAGGAACAATAACTCCTAGGCTTTAAACATAAAGATCGGCATAAGGGAGTGGATATCAGATTTCCAGAAATTCCTACGGGAAATAGATTCCATTTGACATTCATTTCGCTGGCACAAATTGTCTTGTGTATGTATACCCGTCTCTTCTAATATTTATTGAAACTGACACTCGATTAGATATAAAAAAACATTCAAAATATTATATTACGGGGCCGATCCGATTCAACAATGCGTATAAAGCTTGGGAGAAGGAGACTTAATCACGAAGCCTATCAATAAGACAGACAGACTGTGAAGTATTGAATGAAATAAAACGCCATAATTTGCAATTATTAATTACACGAAATCAATGACATTATGCTCCTAGCTACCTTGTGGCTAAAACATATGAATCAAATACGCGACTCAATATAAATCAATTATTATTGTAAGGAGGTATAATTAAGAAAAGACATCAAATATCGTCAAATTTAAAACATTTAACTGGAGATGCATGGCGTATTATCGTCGTGGAATTTCAATTAAACAGACAGAAATACAAATATGTGATGATATAAAAAATGACATCATAAACCTTGCACATTAGACGGTGGATGATGTGTTACGAAGATGATGCAACAATGGCGGAGGATGATGCGTACGAGGGTCAAACTGAAAGTTCTTAGAACTGGTCACTTATAAACAATATAATAAAAAAATAATTCTAAAATTTGAAAATATAACTCTTTGCCAATATTACTGTGTATATATTTCATTCATTTGTCATTTGTTTTACGATTTGGCGGCAAATTGAAAATTGTCTGTGTCACGTCATCATGAGTTTAACACGAGAAAATTTTCGTGCAATGATTTTTTATGACTTTCGATGTCATTTAAGTCAACAAGAAAGTTATGATAGACTACGATTGGCCTTTCACGATGAAGCCCCATCTCGTGCGACTGTTTACAACTGGTTTAATGAGTTTAAACGTGGTCGCACTAATCTCACTGATGATTTACGTGAGGGACGGCCTTCTACGGCGACGACTGAAGATAACATCTGTGTTGTGCGGCGTATGATAGAGACTGACAAAAGAGTGACCTATCAACAGATTCGGACAAGCTTAGGCATCGGTATGAGTCAAGTGCACAAAATCCTCCACGAACATTTAGCGGTCAGGAAGCTTTGCGCCCAGTGGATACCTCATAATTTGACTGAGGCTCAAAAACTCCATCGTGTGGATTGGTGTCGTAAAATGATTGAAAGATTTAACGGAGGTGACTCAAATGCTGTGTTCGACATACTAACAGGTGACGAAAGCTGGATTTACTGTTATGATCCTAAAACCAAAAGACAATCTGCTCAGTGGGTGTTTCCTTTCGAGGAGTTGCCAACTAAAGTGAAGAGAGATCGAAGTGCGGGAAAAAAAATGGTGGCCTCGTTCTTTGGAAGGATAGGTCATTTTGCAACAATTGTGTTAGAGGATCAAAAAACAGTTTCTGCAGAATGGTACACTACCAATTGTTTGCCACTTGTCTTGGAAAAAGTTCGAGAGAAACGACCTCGCAGTAGGATCCTCCTTCACCACGACAACGCCTCGTCGCACACCGCCAAGCGAACGATCGACTATTTGGCGACATCAAACGTTGAATTACTGGGTCACCCGCCGTATAGCCCCGACCTCGCGCCTTGTGATTTTTATTTATTTCCAAAAATTTAAGAAAAACTTAAAGGAAAGCGGTTTATGAATGCTGAAGAAGCGGTGGCTGCGTATCGCGATGCCATTGAAGAGACCCCTAAGGACGAGTGGGCAAAGTGCTTTTCCCAGTGGTTCCATCGCATGCAGCGGTGTATTGACGTGAATGGACAATATTTTGAAAAGATATAATAAAACTAATAACTGGCTAATGTAATCAGTTTTTGATTTTCTAAGAACTTTCAGTTTGACCCTCGTATATACTAAAACGCATACACATCGTCGATCAATCGTCATAAAGGTATATGTGCCGACCTTAAGTGTTTTCGCTTTAAAGTACTCGTATCACTACCGAAACGATATGATGATATTTTACCAAAGAACAAGCCAACGAAACGAATAAAGATAAGTCTATTCTTTGAAGTAGTGAATTGTGATTATTAGAAAGCAGATAGATTCAAAGTTTTTGCTTTCACATTAACATAAAAGCTAGTACCTAAAAATGTAAAATCTTAATAAAGTCAGGTTAAGTAAGCCAACAGATAGGGCTGCGTTCCGGCCTAGTTTGCCAGGAGTTGTCCTACTTTAGAGCACGCCCGGGTAGCGCCCGGAATGGATTTCAAAAAATGCCAAGTAAATTAATTAAGCCAAATCTTACTACCGGGTAAAGACTTTTTTAATTTGAATTTGACCCGTTGCCGAGTATCTAGATCATTCCTAAATAATACTAATTGTTTTATAAATTTGTAATTGTATTATACTAATTGTTATTCTATAGATTATTGATATAATTTAATACTTACACGTGAATATAACACCGACATATTATCCTCAGTTTGAGATCCACCCAAGAAACATCCAAACTAATATTACAA